AGAGATTGAAACTTTCATTTCAAAGTTATGTTGAAAACATGTTAGTTGACTGTTGAGCCATGATTATGTTTATATTTAAAGAGATGCAAGCTAGTTAATAAATTCATAGAGTGAATTACTATCGATAAACCATATTTGAATCAAACTATTTAAGATTAGACAAATAATATTGTAGAGAAACTCACCATTTACCTGACATTGCTTATGCTTGCCAGCTGCTGCTGGACACGGATATGGTATCTCTTGTAAAGACGAGGCTAGAACATAATACTTTTAGTACAATATATTTACACAGTTCAAAGTAGATTAATTTACTTATATTTAAATATGAAAGTGTCAATTGGTCGCATAAATTATAAAATATGTGTGACTTACCAAAAATAACTATATACAAAAGTAGAAATAACAACAGCCTCTTGTCCATAGATCTGGCAGAATTTGTATGGAGCCTATACCATAAACGGCATTGTTTATACCATAAACTTAACAATAAATATAGTAGAGTCAAAAACATTTTTTTAAAAAATCTATATTTTCCTTCGATTGTTACATTTAGTACAGACATTTTCTTTTCTTTTAATAATTCTGAATCTAAACGAATGCGTTTGTTATACGCAACACAATATCTTATTAAAAAAACATTCAAACATATTTCAGATGTGTTAATTTATCTTGTGATTGATATTGATGAAAATGAAACATAAATGGCTAACATCCATTCGCTAAAAAGAAGATATGAACTATTTGAATATTACGTGACTCATCTGTTTTTATAAAGTGATTAGCCAGACTCAAATTATATCGGAAGGGTGTTGGTTGGGTTTAAATGATTTAGTGATTCCATTGTTCAAAGGTTGCAATAAAATAAAACGCATTATGATGCTCGACACGAGATAACATACGTAAAGATTTATAGTTGTTAATTATTTTTGTTAAATTTAAACCGATTTTGTTATTAATAATCAGTAAATATAATGAAGTCAGTACACTGTGTTTAACCAATTCTTTTATTTTCTTTTACATTGTAAGGCTTTGATCAAAGTTTTAGAAGTACGTATGCCAACACACTAAAATAGCATATACTAGGACAATCAAACGAAAGTAACACACAGCTGCTGTATACAATGTGTACTGTCCTCATTTCGTTTTTTAAGGAAGTAAATAAACAAAGGGAGAGAACCGTTTTATTAACGACAAATGTAAAATCAGCAACGTTAAAATATGCTGCATGTAATAGTAAACTCCTTTAAAACAAATTTTTAACAATGCCATTTTACCAGTTATGGCATAACTGCTAGTAATAACCAATCTGCAGGAACAAAAGACGTAATCATAAAATAAAATTAAAATAGAATAGGAGGCAGAATAGAACTACAGTGCCGCCAGACCCCGCAATGCGGAGGGGGGGGGGCGCACGGCATTTAGGAGCCCACAGCCGACCATAATAAATTTTTTTATCGTTAAAAAATATAATTTTCTTGCATTTTTGACTTGATGGTTGTTTTGTAAAACGATTACCGTAGCTGCGATTTGATTATCTTTATTCTATAGACACCACCCCACGCTCTTGAATATTCTTTCTTCTTTTGTTTTTAAAACACTGTGAAAGCCGAGTCCTCTCTCTCCAACAATTAAACTTAACAAAGATAAGCAAACGTTCAAACCACTTCCATGACTTATTTCCCTTTTTTAAAAGTCAAATATGGGTGCTCATAAGCTCATTTTAATAGATTTCTACTAAACAAATTAAAAAGCAATTACTTCTATTACGTATTATTAGTTTTTATAAAGTACTTACTAAAGAATGACATTTTATAAAATGGAAATGTATATAAAATTAATAATATGAATACAAAAAACAAAAATAATCATAACACGAGACACCATTACTTCTACAAAGCTTTCATGTTTTATATTTTTTTGGCCGACAATATGTTAAGAAGACCTATAGCAGAGATAAAATAAAACTGATTTTATCAAAACACACTAATGCACTTACACACATGACATGATGTAGATCTTGTAATTTGTTTCAATTGAAAATAAAAAGCTTTTTTTAAAATCCCGAACAGGCCAACAATGAGTATCCTATGTTCGTATTTTGTGTTTGTATATATATATATATATATATATATATATATATATATATATATATATATATATATATATATATATATATATATATACATGTTTATATATATATATATATATATATATATATATATATATATATATATATATATATATATATATATATATATATATATATATATATATATATATATATGGGGGCTGAAATTATTTTTTTTTGCGGGGTGGCCCTTTATTTCTAGTTCCGCCACTGAGAGGAGGTACATACAACTACAACTCTTAACAACATTTTGTAAAATGAGGTGTAATTGCCGGGGGAATACAACGATCATCTATACCAGAAAGTATGAAATTCGTATCCCAAAATTAAGACCATTGGACGTCCCAAATTCTACCAAGACCAGAATGTTAATTTAAGTAAAGGCAGTATTTTAAACATGGGACAGAAGATTCGGGATATGAAGGAATAGTGTGGTCAGCATTACGTTGTTCCGCCTCTATTTTTGCTTACGTGAGTTATCAGTGTTGGGTGGACTCCGGGACGATTTATGGACTTTGACCAGGACTCGAACTCGAGACTTTTGGGTCGCAGTCTAGCTCTATACCGCTATGTCACGACGTTACATCATACCAAGTGTAAAAATACAAACTAACAGGCTAGTTCTATTTTAGATGGTAGAAATTGTTTAATTGTGCCACTATTAATTTGTATCATAATATACTCTACTAAGCCTTACTTGGCATTGTTAAATTACTGTTTTTAAATACATCTAAACACGTTTATGGTAATTAAATTACTATACGACATCAAAGGCATTTATTACGTGATACTTTGTCATGCTATTCTACTTCACCGGCAGGTGAGATTAGTTAAAATAAATTTAAAGCTGAAATATTTTTTATGTTTGACACTTTTCCTTGCTGAACTTCGTTCACTAATGTCATAACCTAGAGCTAAGTGTGTTTTCCGGTTAACTTAGTAACACAAAACATTTCAATCTTTCTACTTAGCTGTGTAAAGAAAATGAATCATAGAACATCTAGAAAAATTTGACTTTTATAAAGAACTTTAACACTTTTAACTCTTTGTGATTATAAATAATTCGGATCGACTAGAGTTGCCAATTGTAAAAACAAAAAATATTTCAAACGTAATAATATGAAGTATTGTATGTATGTCAAACTTTCATAGACACGTTCTCGTTTCTTCCATGCGTGTAGCATCAAAACGTATGTTGTTCTCTGACAACCTGGTATTTTTGTAATTTGTATGTGTTTATGATTATTCTTGTTTTTTATGGGAAAAAAAGCATATTGGCATAGAACCTTAAAAAGAAAGAGCGATATTGCATCGTTAGATAAGAAATGTTGTGGTGTTGCCCTGCTAGCTTATAAAGATCCCGGTATAGCATCGTTAGATAAGAAAGAGTGTGGTATAGCACCTTAATAGAAGAAAGATGGTGATATAGCACTTTTAGATAAAAATGAAAGATTGTGGTAAAGCAACGTTTGATCAGTAGGAGAACCAAGCTATTTGGAAAGATACATCAGGTATTTTAATCGTATATTTCGTCGTTCAGATATTCTAACATTCAGATATGTTTCGCTTGTGTTTGTTACATTTATACGACACCTTTAGTGTACATTTACCTTCCAAATACTGACACATGTATTGATACAAACGAACACATAGGACGATGACATGCAATTTACTCTAGAAATATTTTATATTAGCAAAAAATATACAGTGGAGTACTTTCCTTAAAGTATACTTTTTAAATTAATTTTATTAAAAAAAGCTTAAAATTGATAAAATCAGTATTTAACATTTAAACACTATAAAGTTTTTTCACAAGGTTTGAAATTACTATCCTATAACTAATTCTGGCGTTAATATAAGTTAACAAAGTAGAAAGACAATGTTTGCTATATACTTCTATTCTGATTACTGAATTGGTTAATTACATTGTACTTTATTATAATTATATTAAATGTAAGTTGAGCTCGCTACTTCAAAACACACGTCTTTTAAGCAACTGTATATTTTTTTAAAATGTGCGAAATCTACATGTAATGCATTGTATTTATTCATTTATTATTTATCACGTATTTATTCATTTAATATTTTGCCTGATGTCCGTTTGCCTTTTGCTTTATATAATTAAACTAGACAGTCGTATATGCTGAATTATAGAAAACATAAGTTTTTCCATCGTAGCTCACTGCGATGTTTGAGTCTGTGGATACTTCATCAGGACGATCGTAGTGATCGATTACATCAATATACGATGCCATATCGTCCTCCGTTTCATTTAAACCACAAACTATTTCTTCATAGTGGTCGTTGTAATCGACTACCTCAATATATGCATCGATGTCTTCATCGTCGGAATTAGTTTTGGATTTGGTCCAGACAGTCGTATAATTATTTTCTATTTGAAAAAAAATCTTAAATAATTATTGCATTAATAACTTAGCACATGTTTTGTAATCCTCAATATTGCATCAAAATATAAATAGTTTAAATCATTAAATTGTAAAATAAATAGTATGAATAATGTATATATATATCTCAATTTAAAAAACATCATTTTAATTTACTGTACAATTTAAAAGTCATGTTAAACTATTATTTAATTGGTGTTATAATCGTATGTTTAACTACACACTTTGATTCAACTAAATTTAATAAACTTTAATTTCCAATAAAAATAAAATCTTCTAATGATTAATGTAAAATATTTATTTATTTTTAGAACGAAATATTTTATTTAAGATTGATATATTTACCTTCAAAGTAACTGCTAGCGTTTCTGAAACTTATAATACATTTTATATAAATATGCTACTATACACGCAAACATTTTAATGGAAAACAGATCAAATAATAATTTGTTCAGTACATCAAAAATTGCATTGCTATGAAATTTTTTTATTAAAACTGTACTTACATCCTACAAACAAAGGGTATACCTGATTGGATTATAAGACAAATATTTAGTTGCTTGTTCCTCAATACTTCTTACAAAATATCAAAATATGTTATATTTTTCCAATTAGAAATGTTAAGCAATTTAAATGAAAGATAGAATACGATATCAATCATGTGTGACGACTAAAATTGTTTTTTAACCCTAACTGTTTATGTTCAGATGGCATAAGCTGATAATATTTCTTACATTTAAATTTAAAAACTCCTATCAGTGCTATAATACAGAAAGCAGACAGCCCTGTAGATATCGCTATAGTTTCCCAAGTCTTTAAACCTATATAAACACGTAAATAATTACTTTTTAAAATGCTGAATACATTTTCAAATAAAAAGTTAATTTAAGCATCAATTATAATTATTTGGTGTATTTCTTAATGATAAATGTGGTATTTACCTTTAGTGTTGTGTAATAATGCTACTGTAATGTTTACACCATATGCTGCATCCGACTTTTCTCCAGTTACTTTAGGATATAAGTTGACGTGAAATGTGGTGACGCCAGACTGGATTTCTTCATACAAATTGACTTGACATTCTGACCTAAAGTATTCCACTGTGTTCGTGTAGCTTGTGTGGTTATACTGGACTCGGTCTTGGGGAATCTTAGGAGTTAGGTTCAGAATTAATGTCTCCATAAACATGTGTCTCCAAAATAGTAGGTTTTTTTTTAGACTTTTTACATGCTTTAGTACATGCTACAAAACAAAATAAGCAACTTTTATTAAAGCCTGATTAGTAATTAAGATTGTCCACACCTGGTATACATTTACTGAGTGAGATGACTTATAAACAATGTCACACATTAAAACAGGATAAACTTTTTCAGTCCAACAGATTAACCATTTGTCATTTAGGAAAAAACAATCAGGTCGTGTGGGTCGTACTGTTGAAACAATATATGTAAATATACTAGATAATGTGGTTTTACAATGAGAAGGAACTTAATTACAAATATACTACTGGACAAAAGTTATGAACGAATAGTGAAATGTAATCGAACATATTAGAACTATCGTATATTAAACGTTAGCTAGAAAAGTATTAGCAACATGTTTTTTTTTAATATAATTTAAATATCATTTAAAGAATAATAACCATATTACAAATGTTTGAATAATTTAATTACAAGTACCATTAATAGCACTTTGCACACTTAGGTCAGATTTTTAAACAGTAAATTTAAAATAACTTTTAATATTAACATTATTACCGTATGTTGTAAGATTGCAGTCAAACAACATTATGTCATCAACTGGATCCCACAAGCTCCACCTCGTGCCATGTAAGCTGCGACTTACAGGAAATGTAAGGTTTGTCTCTATGTAATGTTGATGTTTTGTTAAAGTGGCTTGTGCTGAAGTTGTTTCTCCAGGTGCAACTGTACACACAGCCTCATCAATACAGATTATAACTTGTTTGAAATTTTGTTTCCAGAAAAAAAAATTGTTCTCCGTTCTACCTGTTGTATTTAGCTTAACATTTATTGTTTTTAATGTATTTTCTTCAGCAGGACCACATGATGTAATTACTAAGAAGTAAAAAGGTTCAATACGTTCATAATTCATTACAACACTTGTTGTGTCGATAACTATAACAAACTATTACAATTCAGTTAAAATTATTTCATGAAAAATATCCTGTATTCTTTTTCTACATTTTAGAACGTAATTAAATAAAAGCTTTTGATTCAAACGTTCTTGTTGAGTTTTCTCAATGTATTAACATTTTATTATAATATAATTGATGACTAAAATAATGTATTGTACAATTAATTAACGCAAATATAGTTAGTATAACCGAGCTAGAAAGCTAGTAATTTATATTGGAAACTTTAATTAATCAAACATCGAATTACGTCATTGTCATCCGATATAAATCCACGTGCAATTAGACATAATATATGTCCGGTAGAATTGGTTGAAATAAATTTTGCTCGCCAGTTTTGATCCCCTCGACAAATGACAAAACGCCGTGAAAAAAGGTAAATTAAAAGCATTAAAAATCTAAAGTAAATTGACAACATCATTTGGGTGGTTTACAAAATGATATAAAAAACTGTATTATTAATTTTTTTGGATACTTATATCATAAGTAATGAAGTTTTCTTAAATTTAGTTTCTGATTTATCAACATATATTTCATATGAATTTTTTTTATTGAATTTAATTGAAGCTAACACTGATTAGTATATTTTTTGAAAGTAAAAACGGTTTTATTTGTGCTAATTTAACAAAAACATTATTTAAAAGTAATGACAACTTACACTTACACAAAAGAAAAAAATCTTAAAACAAACCTTCAAAGCACAAAACCACAACACCTAAAATAGAAATTACTGCTCTATACATGGTGTAAAAATGTAGAAACAAAATCCAACACAACGAGTGACATTTAACTTAATGTGCTGGATTAATCACGCCAGTCACTTGACTTTACAAAATCAGGGCACACGGCATACATTTTCTTTATCAAGTGAAAGTGTAGATGTCTAGCTTATTGACTCATTGTTGGTGTGTTATTAACACACCTCACTCAGAAAAAAAATGCCGAAGTGCCCCAAATCTAGAGACCACAGTCTAGTTCGTCCAAGAAGTTGTTTGAACCCTCCGATATAAAATATAATAAAAAACAACAACAAAGAAGATGTTATTAAATATAGATGGGTATTTAATTATATAGATAGTATATTGGATATGTATTGACACCTATGTACATGTCTTTCATATTGAGATAGCGAAGATTATGATTAGCTTACAGCACAAACTGATACCAAGTCTTGAAATTTGAACGGCACCGCCGTTCTTAGCAATCTACGTGGCACTTTTAATCTTTTTACCAGGACCATCAAACTTTTTCTCTACTCTAATAATAATTTGTCTTTCTTTTATTTTCAGCTGCATAAGCAAACTGTACATTGTCTAGTCACAACAACCAGAAAACACGGTCACCAGTCTAAAAATACATCATTGGTAGCAAATGATTGTTATCATAACCAGTGTATCTTTGAGACACATTTTTACAGGGAGTGAAACATTGAGTTGGGTGATGGGATATACATATATATATATATATATATATATATATATATATATATATATATATATATATATATATATATATATATATATATATATATATATATATATATATATATATATATATATATATATATATATATATATTCTATGACGACCGTGTGACGAAAAGATACCTGAAATGTCCTATCAATTTTCTTTTCTTTCTGAGAAAACAGCAATGCGCGACTGGTCCGCAAGTTTACAACTTATAAAAAGCAAAGTGGAGTATGTCTATTAATCCCATCCTAAGTCATTTTAGTCATCTCTTGTAGTGTTGGGAGCGTTTTAAAACAAAAGTCGGTGCAATAGTGCTCATGGTTGAGCCCGTGGTTCTCCGGGGTCACACACTGATGCAGTTGTGTGAGAGTGTATGTGTGTGTGTGAGGAGGGGTACACCTGACCCCCCGCAGGACGCCCAATACGTGAACCCCCCCCCCCCACCCCTATTGTTATGACGGCCACTGGTCCAACCGCACCCTACCGACCGGGACACCGCCCCTACCATATTAAATAAAATGTTTATGTCAGTGTTGAACAAACCAGACGTTTTTATGGGAAAGTGAAACAATTCATTAAATATGTCCACTTAATCGTCCTAACTTGGTTAAATTCCCTCTAGTAATTTTACGATTTTGCGGGTCCGGACAGTGGCGTCGCCAGGTCGGGTGTCACTCGGTGAAGCAACTTATGGTGTCACCCACCCCACATTTTTTTCTCTGTAAATTTTGCAGTTGGTTTACCCCCCCCCCCCCCCCCCCCCAACTCCCATGGTAAAAGCTTAAAAGTGTTCACATTTAATCTAATTGTGTTTATCTATTATGGTTTAACTCCCCCCCCCCTTTCTTTTCGTGATCGTCATTATGTACTTAAAATACTTTTAAACTCTAATTTACCATTCATTGAACTGGGAAAAAAAATGTTTAACATATCTTGCAATCTTTTTGTCATGGCGTCACCCTCGTAAATGGTGTACCCTGTGATGTCCTCGCGACGCTTCTGGGTCCGGTTCCGATATTGGCCTTTGAATGGGTGCTAATGCCCTTAACAACATAATGGTTGGTAATGGTCTTAACAACATAATGTGATGTTTTAGTTACTCATCGTAGAAGAAATATTATATCAAGGTAAGAAATTAAAAGTAAATTGATGCGTGTCATTTAGGTGAACATATGCATGAATGTATTCAAAAATTACTTTAGCATAGAAATATTATGTTATTCTTGTGCTATACTTAGAAACTTTATAAATGGCTTATAAATACAAAGTGTGTTTTTAATTAATATATATCTAGCTAATAGCGATCGGTCATGAAGTACTTTTTACCGAATTTTATTTTTTCTACAACTAATCCCCGTTTTCTTAAAAAAATCGCGGTCTTTTTAAAAGTAATTTCGTGTGTAAAATGGTGTTATTTATACTTTTAACAACCCTATAAACACTTAGTTTACCATCTTTATGGAGGACTTTGGACTGTATTTATTCAACCTAACGAACGCAACTTTAGGATTTCCCGTCGTTGCATCGAAACTTGACCCCGACCGATGTGTCACATGACTCAAAACATTGCAGTTTGAATGGGCTGTGAGAACTGACTAAGCGTGGGTGTGTAAGCCGTACTCTTATAAGCCTGACCTAATTTTGTTGCGATTCAAATATATAGTTCGTTGTCTCGAGACTCATACTAAGTTTTATTACACATTTTTTTTAAAACATAAAGCACTAACAAACTTGAATCATCTACCCAATAGTTAAGCTAGTTGATTAAATTGAGTAAAGAAAGCACACAAACACTCATATCAGAATTCACATTTCTTTCAAGTTATAGGCCTAACTGTTAATTAATTGATATACTTGAGTAAAATTGCCAAAAATAACTAAAAATAAATAAATATAAATAAATCAAATAAACAGAAATATAGAGTGTAGAACCAACTTCTCCATTATTTACAAAATATTTTAGCCACCTAGATGGAGGCATACGGCTGTGGTCAGGCATGTAGAGGGGTGTGCGCCGCTATGCGACACTTACCCCTAGACACAACTCTATGTGGTTCCCCCAACGACCCCAAGAAGAGATAAGGGGTCATCCATAAATGAAATCATACTCCTAGGGGGGAAGGGGGAGTCCGTAATTTTGTGACGATGTGTGATGAGAGGGAGGGGGGGGGGGGGGGGGGGGGTTCAGATGTTGCGACGTCACATTTTTGCATTATAAAAAAGCTATGTTAGAAAACGAATTTTAGACGTTATTTCGCGTTTTAGATAACTGTTTTAATAAATTGTAATAGTTTAGACAAGAATTTTGGAAAAATATCGATGTTTAAAAATTCAACTGCAATTTTGAGGGGTGGTTGTAGGTTGAGGTGTGACGTCATTTTAAGGGGGGGGGGGGGGGTTGTCTGGCTTTTTGTGACGACGTGTGACGGAGGGGGGGAGGTAAAAATCGTCAAAAAAAGCGTGACGTCATTTATGGATGGCCCCTAAGGGATGATTTCGGTTTTTAGATTTTAGCAGTCAAAAACTGACGTATTTTTACACTATTTAAACATAGAACACTAGCTTTTCATATTCAAAGTAACAGTTAAAAAGAGTCGTTAAACAAGACATTTCTTTTTTGTAAGTGTTTACCTCCCCCTTTATCCCATAGCACATTGAAACACATCCCCATTAAAGATGACTCCCCAACCCCGCTTGTACTTTATAATAACATCATACTTCAGTCACAACCCCTCCCCCACTCCTACTAAAAATACACATTGCACTTTTATGAATGTTGGAAAATTGATGTGTTTTAATACACACGCTTTAGTCAAAGTAGAATGAAATTTAACTTATTAAACAGTGTCGGTACATTATAATAATAGTTGGTGCTTTACAACTAGGCGCAGTTTTACAATAAACATTTACAGCAATATGTGTTTTATTTTATTTTTCTTTCGACGAACTGATTTAACCCACAAGCAAAGACTTTTCGACTATTATGAAATGGTCCACTGTTTCGCGGAATTTCAAGATATATGTTCAACAAATATTTGTTAATTAAGTCGAGCTAATATAGATGTAGGTCAAATTTATTTTTTACTTTAAAATTCTTTTTTTTAAAATCACCTTACTAGATGTTTCAAAAAGTGTTGGTTTCCGAGTTAAAAAATTGGTACCTTTACATGGAATTGATGGAGCATGGAGCGGTGCTTTAACGGGTAGGCTTATGTAGCCGTTTCTTTTAAATTTGACTTATCCTTTGATAATAGTTTGAAAAATAGTCTTTAAATGTTTAAGTGGTACGTCTTACTTTATTTCAATATAGCATTACAAATTATGAATCGCATTTCTTAAAAGTTTTTGTTGTAAAGCGGTGCAATAAAAGTATCACATACCATACATGTGATAAAGGCGAAGTTGTGATGAGATGGCAGATCATTAGAGGAGATAGAGTTCTATTTATAACATTAAAAATGCCTTTTTAAGCTTCCGTCTAAGTACGTGTGTGTGTATGTGTGTGCGTGCGTGCGTGTGTGTATGTATGCGTGCGTGCGTACGTGTGTGTGTATGTGTGTGTGTGTGTGTGTGCGGTAACAACAATCCATTGCAACCATACATCCTGCACACGTTATCTTTTTTTTCTAGAAAACCTGAACCGGAATCAAAACTCCTATTTTCATATAAACAAGCTACATTACAGTGAAATTAAAAATTCTCAAAAAATAATTCTTACTTGCATACCACTTAAACTCTGTAGGATTTGTACTTTCAAATACATAATGTTTCGATAGCTCAGTGCTAATGGATGTGTTTACTGTTTGCTATCTCCATTCTACATACCATTAAGTTATAGTATATTTAATGGTATATTTTTTATCTTACATTTTATTTTTCATGTTTAAATATTTCATAAACAACAAGAAGAAATAACTGAGTTTTTTTTTTTTTTTTTTTTTTTTAAAGGCAACACATTTTGTTTTATTTAATTTTACGAATGTGTAAACCAAAGGGATAAACATAGTTGCATTTATTCTTTATATAAATATGTAAGAATTAGGTAGCATTTGTAGAAATAATATGTATAATATCATGTTTTAAATATGAGAGTATTTTTTATTACAGCTTAAACGTGCGGGATATTTTTAGTTTTTAATCTTTAACGTGAGTAGTAGTAAGTCACAAACTTGAATATAGAGGGAAAAAAAATCTATGTTGAAAGTAGGCTATGATATCGCAATAACACAATAACAATTTTTTAAAAAAACTTTAAAATGCGTTGTAGCTTTAACAGCATTAATAATTTACTGCAACAACACAATTAGGAAAAAAAACTAGTTACGTGTATATAATGATGACTTTGGTAATAGCATTCATTATAACTATCATTATGATGCATTTGGATTAAACTAATATCCGTTGATTATAGTTTAGATTTAGAACTGATAATATATTATTGAATTATTTCCAGCAAAAATTAAGAGCAAAATATATATCTTAATAGAGGAGTTGTGTGACGAAACATACCATTAAGTTAATGTTTGTAGATAAATTATTATATTCGTAAGAGTATTTTATTATATCAATGGATAAACTGGTGTTGTTAATACTACAATTGTATCAAGTTTGTTCTGGTAAGTTATTTATATTTTATATATTATTTATATGTGTAACCATACATTCACTTTTAATTTAAACATGGTAAATTAAATTATTTTTTATATATTTACAATATGTAAAACATATTCAAACTAAATATAAACATTGTTTTCTAGCTTCGTCCGTACATGACCAGCAAAATTCATGTCACACATACTCCAGCAATAAAACATGTGCAGTACCGGGTAAGTTCATTCACGTAAAGTAGAATAATTTGTTGTGCTATAAAATAATTTTAGAATATTTTTTAAATTTATTTTTGAGTTATTGAAAATTAATTAACCATACCAATTTTATATCCAATAAGATTGTCTTTTACATAATCAACGAAATTCATCTACTTCGTTTTCAATAGGAAAATCTTTTAATTCATTCCCACCGCCGTGTTTGTAAATAATAAATTAAATAAAAACTTGGCAATTTTTAGCTGTTAAGCTAGACAAAGTTTTTACACTGAAACTCTTCACTTGAGATATTTTTTATTGCTTGGTTTGTAAACATCTAATTTAATCGAATGTAAACATGTTTTTAGAGACTCCAAGCTTGTGTGTTGAGAGATTCCAAAGTATCCGAATCACATCAGCAGTTAACGGCACTGGCTCTGGCACTCTTGTTGTCTGTGGTAAAAATTTGACAGAACATTTAACTATCATGGCTGGAAACGATGAAATATTTCCTTTGTCAACCAGGAGATATGAGGTGAATGTTAGTGAGAGTGGGTATCACAGTACAGTCAACATTACAGTACATAACCTGACAGAACGGGATCAGGGCGTCATACCACTCCTCATATTTACCTGCCCTTTAAGGTGTCTTGACAGTCAGATATGGGTGGATTTAAAAGGTAATAACCTGTTTAATTGAAATATCAAACCAATATATACTATTTAGATAAAAACCTAACGTATGATTTTTTTTCTAGGTAGTACCGACAACGTGACCTTTAGTTATCAGTTCACTAGTGATACCCATGAGCTAAATCTAAAATTACACTGCTCAGCAACAAGATATCCACGAGCTATAAAAATTAATGATGTCACAACAGCAACTGTTGTAGCAAATGAAACATTCAGCGCAAGAAATTACAAGTCTACAATGTCACTTGAAACATCACTCTACGACCCATCGTGTTCACACATTACAAGTTACATTTGTGAAGTGACAGATTTTCTAGGAAATAAAAGTACACGTACATTGCATGTCACACACAAAAAATGTAAGTTTTTTTTATATTCATTTGCAGTTTCATTGTATATAATTTAAAAACAATTATACTCTGTTTTAATGGACTTTATTGAAATTTGAAAATAATTGAATAGAATAATACAAACAAAAGAAATGCTATTTGCATTTGCTTTTTTGTTAACTTAGCGTTGCACGTATAACTACGATCATAGTGCAATTGATTTTATTGCCAGGTCCCCCACGTTTATTTGATGTTACAACCAATAACAGTGTGATTCAAACAAATGTTAATGACACCGCCATGTTTTATTTTGACGTCATAACATCTGGTGACGTCATCGTGGAAGTTGACAGTAATCGAACACAGTTTAACATCACTAGATGTAGGTCAAATAATGTTTACTGTGTTCAAATCTTGTTGAACTCTACACAAAAATCAGACTTCAGGTTCTATACAATTAATCTAAAATATAATGGATCAAGTTACATTCAAGTCATCTTTCGCATAGAACTAAAAGGTTAGTTAATATAACTATTAAACTATAATCAATGCTTGGGTGAGTAGGAATATAACGTATATAAATCACAACATGAATGTATTCTCTTTCCAAAATCTATGTTTATGAAATTACATATTAATAAGAAAAATATTTTTGTGAAGAATTTTATAGGCCTAATTCCTACCAAGTTTGATTGTATTGACGTAATTTGTTGTAAAAATATTTGTAAGAATGTGTTAGGTATAAGAAATATAAAAAATTGCGTTGGTGCTTCTTCGTGTGCGTGCTCAAAAGCGTGTGTCTGTTTCTAAGTGTCTGTGTGCGTCCATGTGGCACTGCGTGACTGTGATTTTTTAACATAATGTATTGCTTAAATATTACAGACCATCCACAGTTCTGCTATATCCCAAGCCCTAACTATACAATCTACACACGACCCAGCGCGAACTTGTCTGTCAACTTTTGTCTGAAGTCTGGTGTAGACATACAACATCAACACAAGATGGAGGTTTATGTGGACAACCAACGTCTGTCAGACAAAGATATACAAGTAACAAAGTATAACAGCAGATACCAGTATGGACTGGAGATTGTTTTACACAGAAAGACTTATGACAAAGCTCTGTGGATAGAAATAAAAGTGTTTAACGTTACATTGAAGTGTACAGTAAATATAGTTAATCATACGGGTGAGGATACTAAGTTAAACCATTCCACAACAAAACATAATTTAAATTAAATCAGGTCTTTTTTTATAAGCGTTATATATTTTCTCCAGCCGTATGTAACAACTTGCAACAGCCAATCCCAGCCAGACTTGACCAACCACTGACCATAGAGTTTTGTGTTGTCTCAAGCTCTCCCCTACACGACCATATCGGGATAAACGGTCACGTGATCAAAGTCAACACGTCACACGTCACTGGTCTCTACAGGTATGTTGGTGTAAGGAGATCAGGAGATGACACCTACAATGTTACTATTCAACTTTACCCGGCTGATGTAGATGGTGTACAAATCTTCCAAATTTTGGTAAAAAATGATGAGAAACAGTCGATGGTCTTTTTGTCTCAAGTTGCCCTGCATAAAGGTAAGTTTCACAAAAATAATTGAAGGATATTATCAATCATTTCTAAAAGAAAACAGCACTCAGTTGCCTATCCAGGAGAAAGCAGGGGAACTGGCCGTCCTCCTGTATTTCTTTATAGAAATTTAAATAGTATTGTATTATTATATTTAAAGAAAATCAATTATTTTCTCCTTTTTAATGCATTATTACATTAAAGATTGTTATTAAAACGTTTCAGGCGATTGGTTTTTCGGTAGGCTTCTTTAAATATTTTTTAATAGAGTTGCGTGACTAAAAACTACTGCGCACCAAATGAACATGATAATGCTCGTATAATAGTGCGGAAAGAGTAATATTAAGACAGCCTACTCATTTCAGAGCATTTTAATTAATTCATAAAAAATGAATTAGGCATCCAAATAAATAAAATTTGATGTCATATTGCATTGTCTTCAAGTCTTGACCAGCGTGAAGCGAATCTGAAAGTTAAGAGTGCCTTAAATTTCACTCGCCCGTTTCGATCTATAACGACAGACTGGCGACAGATAAAGCATGTAAAAATGCTTCGAATACGTATTTTATAACTTTAGTAAGTCACTTTATTTTGTTTCTCTGAACAGAACAATGGAATGTTACTGTCAATAAGTCGCATAAAAAAGGTAAAATTGTTTAGTGTGTTAAAAATAAAGCTCGTGTCCACATTATATTCTTTGTGTGTATTTAAAACTTGATTTTACCCGGAATACTGCTTATTCACTATTAATAAAGAAAAAAAATTAACATTTAGCTATATCAGTACTTAAAAAGGCTGTTCCTAATATGTGTATTACAATATACATTATAACTTTTCACATAAGATAGGCCTACACATTGTTACTAATTACTTTTAGTTTCAGATTTTTCAGTAAAATCATCAAGCCCGTCTCTCTTACCAACCACAACTACCGGTAGAAGAAAGTTGTGTTTCAGTTACGATTAAAAAATGTTAGCTACGTCTTCGTTTTAAGTTTATCTACACCCCATTTTAAACATACAATAACTATATGAGTGCATCACTTACATTTTTCGTAATGAACAAAGAAAATGGCAATATTTACAAAGATAACTTTAGTTTAAAAGAAAGGAAATAACAGTTGTAACTGTAACAGGAACTAATTGTTTTATATAATCTACTAGCCCCAACAAGATTCTATTTTAATATAGGCTATGTCCAAAAATAATAATCCAGACTTGCAAATAGTGGGGTGATACGACGTTGACGCTGTATTTATTAAACGCCAATCTATTTCAGAACTTATTTAACTCTATTTGCACACCGTATATAATTTATAGTTTTATTTTTATATGTAAACGTTCACGTAAGAGTGTGCATTACGTACTGTAATAATAATATATGTCATTTTATATAAATAGCATCCACTGCAGTAAACTCAGTCTATACAACTGCTAACGTATCAACTCTAAACGGCGAGACTTCTAGAGATGACGTCACAGTGAAGGTGATCATCGGTGCTCTAGCGGCGGTCACCATCGCTACAATTATCGTCGTCTTCTCTGTGCGTAGAATGAAAGGTATTTTCATTTTAATACATCTTCTTTTACTTATTATAAACCTCACATGTAAACTAAGATTCGGTAGATGAAGAAGAGTTCATATTTTTGTGTAAATTCGATATTTGAAGGGTTAGTGTGGTATGCTAGGTAGCCTTTCCCTAAAGTGAGTCTGGTACCCATTAGATCCGAACTCGATTCTACCTGGTTAAAAGAGGTGAGCCTTACTTACCGACCATATACACACATACACCTTACATAATGTACTGATTTAAGACTGTACCCCGACCTTTTAAGTAAAAACAAAGTTTGGTTTTTAATAAATTATTCTGATTTTACTTCAATTTTTTTTCATATTGCCATTTTAAGTGAAACGTTTTCAAGATCCTATACAGCCTCCAAGGTGAGTAAACTTTAAGGATGTTTAAAATTAAAACAAAGCATTCTTTTTAATTATACATAATAGCTACACCCGTTAAAATTATTTCATATTGAAATAGGAAACTATACACATTTAACCATAGCATTAGCTGGCTACATAATAAACGCCTATGTATGCATTTGTTTTTGTTAAAGACAGTATACATTAACTTAGGATTATAAATCATACATATATATATATATATATATATATATATATATATATATATATATATATATATATATATATATATATATATATATATATATATATATATATAGTTATGAAGGTTTTAATTGCCTTTCACCACAACAAAGATTTTTTTTTTATTTCCAACAGCTACCAGAATGTTATAGCCAGAAACAGCAACGATAACTCTAGTCAAGTCTTCCATACACCGACAGGTTTGTTAGCAGTTACATTGAGTTACAGCTCGCTTATGTATAAAATAATAGCAATCTAGCCTTAAGGTTAGACATACTAAATCAAATAACGAGAACAAAAGTATACTATTAATTAATTAATGTTATAATGTCATATTTTATTACATAAGGTAGTTACAATAAACAATTTTAAATTGTATATACTGTTTTTAAATTTAAGAACCCGCATTAAAATAATATGTTGTCATATTCAGTCAATGTGACGACGGAATCGACCACTTCACGCAACTCTGAAGGACTAATCTACGTCACAGTAGACCACACCAGCCTACGTGACAGCCTGTCCACCAACAGGTCCAGTCACAGTCAAGATCACGTGGTCTACGCCAGACTGGACTTTCAGAAAATGGCGAAGAAGGAACAGAAATCCAGACACTAGGAGAATGAAGGAGAGAGAAGGGGCAGAAATATAGAGTAATAAATAGGGAAAGACATAAGAAGACAGGGTTGATAATAGATAGCAAGACGAAGATCTGGAGATGTTTGGGATGATATCAAATGTACAGAGTTTTGAAAGAGCAAACATTGTTGAGACCTTTTGAAACGTTATTTATCCTATTAGCTTGAACATTATTTTTGTTTTAGTTGATGCTTTTTTTTTGTCAAAGCTGCAATATATGGAGTTTAAAAAAACAAAGAATTTCGTAATTTATACTTTTCTAGTTTGAATCCCGTGTTCGAGACTATGAAAATATCCGTGAGTCCACCGTTTTTACTTTCTCGTATATACGAAGTATAGAGAAAGTCTTGTAATCATGCAAAAAAATAAACCGGGAGTGATCTCCCCTAAACTTTCTCGAATATTCTAATATAACACTACGGGGGAAGGCAACTTGGGATATAGACTTCTAGACATAATTTTTAATCCATTTTAAATACTCAAACTTTTTAAAATAGAACATAATCTCGTAGGAAAAAGAATTGCACACCAAGTGAACGTTAAATAAAGATGTGCATAATAGTGCGCAATATTATTAGTACTTTATAAATTTACATGCGTTTTTTGAGAAATCGGAAATAGCGTAAATTAGTACTTCCGGTCAATGAAAATTACTCAATATTTGATAGAAAGTAGAGAATTAGATCTTTTACTTACATATCAAATTTCATTTATCTATCTGAAATAGTACTCAAGTTATAGGCTTTTGAAAAATTCAAAGTAGAAAAAGTACCACTTCCGGTTATCGGAAATCGCTCAAAAGTTGATACGGATCTACGATTTTAATATAATACTTATATATGAAATTTCATCGACCTAGCTGTAACGGTACTCAAGTTTTCGCTTTTACACACACAGAGACACACAGACACACAGACACACAGACATACGGACAAGGTTGCAAAATTATGTTTTTCCGTATCAGTGAGGTGTAAAACGTCGAGATTTGCAAAAATCTCGATTTTTTTACTTTCTCATATATACGTATATCACTTGGTTTAAGGGGGCAGTATCACCCAGACTAAGGGAGGTAAACAAAAACATTCACCAAAAGAAAACTATTCGACATACACATGTCAAAATTGTACAGCAGTAGTATCGTTTCTTCTGCTATAATACAGTATATAAATTGTAGGGTATATGTATAGCAACAAATTTTCAAAAAATTATTTTATTACATTTTGAATTTGTTTGTAAACAATTTTCCGAAACCATAAATAAAGTACTTAAAATTTGGTATAAACGTTCCTTGCGTTAATGGCTATGTCCGGAACTAAAATCGTAAAATTCTATCGAGGGATAAAGTTTTTAAGAAGTCTTCTTATGTCGCATGATGAACGTAGTAAAAATCAAAAAAAAAAAAAAAAAAAAAAAAAAAAAAAAAAAAAAAAATCAGCTACTGCCACCACTCATTGGCTGGGCGCGCTGAAAGTCAAATCTACAACACTGAGACGTAAAAAAAAAAAAAAAAAAAAAAAAAAAAAAAAAAAAAACAAAAAAAAAAATTAAGTTTTTAGAAAATTTCAAAGTTCAATTTTTTTGGTCTGACTTTGAAAAATTCTAAAAATTTCAAAATTTTAACAGTGTATACTCCTAGTTCCAGACATAAGCTACCTTGTTATGCATCTCCTAGAGTATTTTCAGCAGGAAGGGCCTAAATGTTGGAAAAGCGCAGCCAAAAATAACTTATTAAAAATGTTTTGGTAAAATTATTTATAAAATTTTTTTTGCATCATACGTTAACTTTCTTTTATGTGCTGTTTTATAGCTCCTTGATAGTTACTATTATGGTAAAAAAAGTATGTGTGTATGTATAATAGTTTTTTTTGGCAAATTTTTTCGTCAATTTTCAAATGTCTGGGTGATACTGCCCCCTTAACTTCAAGAAAACCTTGAACATTTTATTGTAGAAAGATATGTATTACAGAGGCGTAGCGATGGGGAGGGGGGTACATATGTCCCCGGGCGCCAACCCAAGGGGCGCCAAAATGGGTTAAAAAATTAAAAGCTCATTTTAGCTGCAGTTTTGTATTATAAATATAACAATATATGGGGGAGGGATCTGAATTGAAAGTTTGTCCTCTGGGGGTGTCATATTGAAAGTTTGTCTCCGGGCGCCGGAAGGGACCGCTACGCCTCTGAGGTAAAACTGCAGTCACCAATCAGTATAGACAGTACAAGTTCATAAGCATAAAAAGAGTAGGCTAATATCTGTTAGCTAAAGTTATCAATCATAGGTACAAAATGTAATGAACGGTTGCATAAGTATGCAAGTTTTAAATTTTATTCCGAATAATAATTAATCACATATGCTAAGCAATAAATTATGAAGAACATTTTTTTAGAAAACAATGTTTTTTGGAAAGTCATTTGTAACTCACTATGTATTTTAATAACAGCATTGTTTTATTTTTTTTTAATTACTTTACTCCTGAATAAATAATTATTATTCAATAGTATTTTTTTTTTCGCAAGAGCTCATGACATGAGTGTGAATTTTTATGAGAAACTTGACATTGTTCATCTACTGTGTAAAATGTATCATGTCTACACAGGGTAGCTAAAATAAACATTCATATTATTCTATGCCTAAGTGTATTTTTTTATGCTCACAAACAGCTGAATTTGATGAAAAGTTTACTTGTGTATTTAAACCATTTTGTATAGAAATCCTGAAATGTTGAAAGTGTTGATACACCCTGATTTATATTTTCAAAAGTTGATAATGACAGATCTGGTTTTATGTCCACAGATGTTGAAAATTCCACTTTCGGTTTATGGAAATGCTGAAAAATTAATTCACAACTACATATTTGATATAAAACTTATGTATTAAATTTTATTAACCTAGATGTAACGGTACTTGAGTTATCGTGTTTACAGACCGACACATGCGTACATACACGCACACACGCACACACACACACACACATTCAGACAAAATTGCAAAACTACTTTTTTCGACTCAGGGAAGTGTTAAAGGCCGGGATTTGTGAAAATCTTGATTTCGATTTTCTGTACGATTACAATACTTCCTCTAAATTTCATATACGAGAAAGTAAAAATACGAAACTACATTTAAAAGATTGCAGAAAATATCAAAGTAAACTTGTGATAAGTGTACATATTCTGTAAAATTCCATTTGTTTCCACCAAAATTATTATAAGTTTTAACTAAAATGTTATACTGAACTCTGCTATAGAGACAGCACAGAAACATTGTTCTTCCTTACTTGGCAAGTGAGAAAGAGATTTTATCTATATGTAACTAGTAACCTATAATTAGCCAAAAACGAAATACAATTACAGTAGCTTTGATCGTTATGCACGGCATGAAAAAAGTATAGCAAAGGGTACATCAAATAAGTTTAACTTGATTCAATTATTTATGTATTTTACTTCTAATTGTTTTGCTCTATTGGTTCTCAGTGTTCAGAATAAATAAATGAGTTGATGAACAAATTTGGAAAAGACTATCAAATTTTGAAAATATTCACAAACAAATTGCATGACATTCTAATGTCCGCTTTTGCACATTAACCTTTTATTTTTGTGCTGCACACAAAGAAAACGGAAGAAGTCAAGCAGTGGTGAATGTGACATTGAACAACAAAACAAGTGAATGTGATAAACATGAAGGCCTATATCTACATGATTAGAGTTTTTTACATGGTGCACGGCCTTATATTTGTAACACAACTATAACAGAAAGTAAATGTTGGTAAATTTAAGTGATTAGCATAAGCATAAACTAACACAACAATACACCTAATCGCAAGAATAGACTCGTGTAAGGACACAGATCGGTTGATTGGAGAAATGATAGATCTAGATGTAGATCTAGTAATGGGCAGGCAATATCTCATCTTGCTCGCCACACATTTCTATATGTGTAGATAGTAGTATAGGCTTATTTACCATATGTTCTATTTTTTTTAGCTAAAATCCCAACACAGCGTAAATATTCCGGAATGATGTAGGAGGATGTTAACTTATGTTAGTATGGATTTGTAAAGATGTGTTACTGTAAAACATTGTTTAAGCTATTGATGAATTTCTTTTAAGTGTAGGCTATATAAAGTGCGGAGTGTATTATATATGGTTTTAAGCTTATTTCATCATGAACACATGTCTTAAAGTAACAACAATGATTAGTATTAACAATAATTAGCAACAGTAACTAGCAGCATGTTGTATGTACATTTGAGACAAATAGCGTGTCGAAAAATGTAATTTGAGATCGTGGTCTGCCGGATTATTACATTAAAAACAGAAATAAAATTGTCTTTATATAAACAGCAAACAATGCTCAAATAAATAAGCAACAAAAGATATATTATACTACTACTTTGAGTCTTATAAGTCATCCAAGCAAAATCCTTCTTAAGTTAATACTAAATAGACTAAAGCCACAAGCTGAAAAGTTCATAGGTGCAGTGGCGTAGGCAGGGGGGTGTTAGGGGGGTCATAACCCCCCCCCATAGACCCCTCGTTATATATATAAAGTATGATGGGGGGTGCAAATCGAAAGTTTGTCCCCTGGTAAAAATTGGAACCCCCCCCCTTGAGACGTTCCTGGCTACGCCACTGCATAGGTGTAGCAAAAGCAAGCGTCAGACAGTGACTCAGCACAACTAAGCAAATTGTATGTTACTTAGCGAAAAATACCTACAACGCCGGCCACATCTTTATCACGTTTTGATGGATTAGATTTTAAGAAGGAATTTGGCAGAGTATGACATGATGCACGGTGGGCTACCATGCATAAATACGACTTGAGCTCAAATTTCAATGCGTACTAGAGATCAACCATGGCAGTAGTTTTCAACAACACAAAGGCGAACAACTCAAAGCGCCAGACATGTTTGCTTGCTCTGTCCCGTTCTTTTCAATATCTCTTTAAAACGGGTCATAGAAGACCATGCTAGCTGGGTCAGCATCGGCGAAAGCATTATTACCAAACTACGCTTAGCTGCTGCAATCGCATGTAGTTGAGCGAGAATTGGTAGATCGATTGGACAGAACAACAATACATACGGCATGGAAATCAATGCCGACAAAACAATGATCATGACCAACAACCCGAGGGGTATTGGGGTAGAGATACATAACTAATGAAGAGGATCACTAATGTAATTTGTTTCTTTGAAAATCTACTGAGTATTGTCAAAAAAAGAAAATTAAGATGGTATAGGCATGGGGGTCATATATAAATGACGTCACGCTTTTTTGACGATTTTTACCCCCTCCCCTCCGTCACACGTCGTCGCAAAAAGCCAGACCCCCCTAAAATGATGTCACACCTCAGCCACAACCCCCATCAAAATTGCAGTTGAATTTTTTTTAAAAACATCGATATTTTGCCAAAATCTTGACTGAAATATGTCAAAATAGAGTATTTAATCAATTCTTATTTTAATTTATTAAAACTGTTTTCTAAAACGCTAAATAACGTCGAAAATTCGTTTTCTAACATTTCTTATCTATAAAGCAAATGTGTGACGTCGCACCATCTAACCCCCCCACCTCCCTCTCATCACACATCGTCACAAAATTACCGACCCCCCCCCCCTCCCAAATGCGAGTGTGACGTCATTTATGGACGACCCCCATGCCACAAGAACTAACGGCCTATCCAAAACAATAATGTAAGCCAGGAGGGTGAGGTATGGTAAAAACGTCAGATGGATGACTTCAAAGATTGGGCAGGGCAGCCCGTTGTATAACTTTAGGGCAGTAAAAAAAAGAAATAGATGACTGAAAATTATAAATAGAATCAACTAAGGTGCCTCAACGACCCCTAGTAATAATTGATTGACTGATTGTGTGCTAATAATATCGATGTATTATAAATAAACAAAATCAACTAAACAATGACTGCACTTTTCCGGAATAATTATAGACGTTACATCGATGTTTTTACTCTTATATGTTAAATAGGGTATTTTTTATTATAATTTTAAGTACTCTTTGCTTTCGAGAAAATAATAGCACAGTTAATTATCAATACCTTAACATCACAATTATATATTTCATTGCAGTATGAACCACATAACAGACACGTGTGTCCTATTTTATTAACCGGTGAAACCAATGGAAATAATGTTCCTGATGGTGAAGTGGATATTTGTACTCGTCATTTTAATTTCCTTACATGGAGGTATTTGATGTATATATATATATATATATATATATATATATATATATATATATATATATATATATATATATATATATATATGTGTGTGTGTTGTTCTATTGCTTATTGTGTCCAGTTTATTCTGCAATGTTTGTCTCTACCCGGAACTGAAATAACAGTTACGTGAGTGTGCACATTATGCAACGACAATAATAAATCATTGTTTATTATTCAAACCTGACTGTCCATAGGGCAAATGAAGTAGAGTCCAACTGTTTACATGACCTCGGCTTATAAATGGATAGTGTGGTCAGCACTATGCCAAACCACTTTTACTTTTCCTAACATGAGTTAGGTACCCATCAAAGCCGGTGGGACTGGGGGACGTTCTATTGACTTGAATCGGGATTCGAACTCGATACTTTCGGATTAGCAGTCTAGCGTTCTACCACTAAGCCATTACTGTGCATGGTTTTTTTTCATCAACTCTTTGGTTGGGGCATATAGTTGCCATGAACTAACATTCAACTAGACCTTACACTTTCTGCTAGAAGTTTACAAGGCGAAGTGTCTAGGCCCACAGCGACGCACACATCATAAAACGCACGTAGCGAAGAAAAGCAATGTAGTCTCCCTAACAGAGGCTGGAGGTCACCTATTATAGGGCTGGTAAGTAGGTTAATAAACAGTTATATGGCTCATGCAAGTTTTATTGAGCCGGATGTATATTACGTAACACAGGCTTTTGACTATGTTGCGAGCAGGCAGGACAATCATTCAACAATGTGCTGTATCAAAAGGGTCATAGATCTAAAAAAAAGTCTGGTTTATTTAACGACGTTTGTTCTACCTTAGCCACTGGCTCGTTCTGTGGGCCCCCACCAGTTGTTACAAACAGCAGTTGGACGTTGCCGTGTGTTGGTGATAAGAATGAAATGTGTCACTTTGTCTGTGATTGGGGCTTCAAAGCCAACGGTCTTACGTACACGCATTGTAAGGACGACGGTCATTGGTCAGATCCTGGAAGGTGTTCTAGTAAGCTGATAATTTTATTTTATATAGATTGAAAAATAATATAATGTAATACATGTTGTTTTTTTTAAAATACTTTATGTTTATGTAAGTAGGCGTTAACTCGCTGTCAGTTTTCTGCCCTCAGCAGAGTCAAAGAAGCTGACACCAAATTCCGTATGCGGCCGAGTCAATTAAAGAAACCCATTCACAAAAAAATATTCACATGTTTAAATTAGAAGTAGTAAAAAAAAAATGTCCCCGTTTTTTTTACAAAAGTACAACCCTTTTTAATTAAAACATCTAAACGTTGATGGTCACTTGCGGTAAGTTTTCTGCGAAGAAACTGACCTGCATATTTCTACGTTGGCTTAGTTAAATTATAAGCGTCTTAAGCATCAGCAATTTAAAGGAGACGTGTAATTTTAATTTGCCAACAAATGTTTTTTGAAACAACTGATGTACTAAACAATATAAATGTTATCGCCTAAAAGCTTTTGTTTTTTAAAAAAACACTAAGTTTTGGAAAGGTAAGTTATAACATGTTTAAATAATTAAAACTATTTTATTTAAGTTATGCACTGTGGAGAGCTACCAACCATTCATAATGGAGAATGGAGAACGAATTGCGAAAAAAACTACGGAACCAACTGTGCGTTTCTGTGTAACGATGGCTACATTGTTCATGGTGCTACAACTGTCCAGTGTATGTTTAATGGTGTAAGAACGTATTGGTCAGCGCATGGTGGCTGTGTAGGAGGTTTGCTTTTATACGTTTTATTCATAGTTTTACAGTGTTTATTTGTATGCTTGTTGCACTTAGATTATTGTGTGTTAATGTTTGAAATGTGCTTGTCATTTAGAGGAAAGTAAATACAGGGGAAAATAGAAATTACGGTAAACCTTGTTAAAGTGGGCTCATTAGCATTAACGCCGAGGATAGTTTTTGATTAAAAGATACATTGCAAACAATGCATCTGAAAAAAAAAAGTAAAAACGAAACTATAATCACAACGTTGTGGTTATAGTTTAGTTTAGAGCCCAGACGTAGAAGTTTAGAAGCTTTATGTTTAACAGCCCCTCGCCAACAAATGTGACTAATAGTAACGTACAACTGTGATGCGCAGTGCTACCAAAATATTGTTTCGGTTAAACTAGTGTTAACCGCGATGCTGATATCTCACCAAAAAAAGCGTACCACACATATCAATTGATATACACATTTTAGTAAATATTCATGAAAACTAAAATGTGAATATCAATTGACGTGTAGTAGGCTTACAGTTTTTTATATTATTTTTTAAATGTAACCAATGCCTGCACTATTTGGATTTGCTTCCAAAGAAAAAACTTCAAGGTAGCAGTTGTTTGATTTTGGAGTTGTCTCTCTTAGAAGAGTGGCTGTCCTTAGCTAACGAGCCTCATCTGCCTGAGGGTTCGAACTCGAGACTTTTCGGTTTACCGACTCGACCACGCCGACCACTTGTGTAACGGTTGCCAGTTATGTTCTCATGAAAGTAATTTTCATTGTACAGTTCCAGAGAAATCTGTCGCCCCACCTGTGGTTAAGGATGGCGCACCATTTTCTGCTTTCTGTGATGCCGACATTGCCTGGGTTCCAGAAAATATAAAGGGAATCATAAGTATTCAAATGTCCTTGAAATCACCGAGTGGATCTTCAGTGACCTACGGCTACTTACAAGATTTTCCGTACTCTTCTGAGGTTAGTGTCTGTATTAACGTGCACGTTGCGAATCTGTATTCATAAGTGTGACTATTTCACGATAGAAAGATCATTTTGGGATTTTTTTTATTATGAAAAACATAACTAATTAGATACAAAGTAATATTTGGAACATATTTGACTATTAAAACACACATCTGTTTTACTTATAATGTGCTTATAAAGCAGATGGCACGCCAACACACACACCTTTTTAAAATTATTTTGTTGCATTCTTCTTTTTTCTTCTTTGTCGCTCTTAATTCTAGTGTTGGAAGGGATCCCCTCCAACACAATTAAGTATCACGTGTCAACTTGAATTGCGCCATGCAGGTCATTCACTACGATTTTCTAGTTAAATTTGCTTATCCTTATCTGCCTGGGGGTTCGAACTTGAATTGCACCATGTAGGTCGTTGACTTCGATTTCTGCTAGCTTTTCTTGTTAAATTTGCTTCCATAGCCTTTGTCCAACCAAGAACAAACAAATTTCATTTTGGAGTTGTCTCTCCTAGATGGGTTGATGTACCTAGCTATCCTTTATCTGCCCGGGGGTTCGAACTCTGGACTTTTCTATGAGCTTAACCGACCTTTCAACGCCGACCTCATTAACGGATATTTTATCTTACATCGGCTTTTAATATTTGTATTATATGTATTTTTAAATATAAAACTATAGTTTAAAATTGTATTTTATTTGAATTAAAATAAAATTAAACTGTCTTATCTTTCATAAGATTGGCGACAGTCCAGATTGGGGCGTTACCTTTTATGGAGTAGGACCGAAAAACAAGTATGGCTTGTTGCATAGGAACAAATTTCGTATGCGAATCGACGTACCCCATGCTAGCACCGCTGATAGAGGCGTGTTTTGTTGTGAAATCGCATACTCCGACTCACAGTCAAGTTATGAAGCTAGCAGTAGATGTCAAGACATTAGAGGTAAGTAAATCATCATTAACACAAACACGTAAAAATAAAAATCGACATCAATGGCGCTAGAAATTAATTGCTCCCTGCCAGAATACTCGCAATATACACTTTAAAAATTTTAAATAATTTGCGATGTTATACAATAAAATGTCGTTATAAAAATTTATTCGTGTGTTTTATGTATGACTTTTCCAAGTATTTGACGAATTTTATGATTGAAGTATTTTCGGAGATGAAACAAAAAGTTTGAAAATAAAGCCTAACATATTTTTGTTTTATTTTCATTTTCTCTTTGAAAATGAAAACAAGCATTGTGAAACATCGTCATGTCTTTGAATGTAAATGTTTTTTAGAAATATTTCCCAGAAATGTTTTGAGTAAACGTGAGGTTTAAAGAAATACAATTAACTATCTACGATACAATCAGTTAGATAGTGTCTTATATAGGTGAAATTTAAGGGCTAAATGGTGGGTTGACGTAAATAAATAAAAAGTTCGTCTTTAAGAAAAAAAAACATTCTCTGCATTTGCAAATATTACATTCACGTTTAAAATATTACTTTTTTTTTTAAATTTTATTCCAACTTCAAAATGTTTTTTTAATTGCGCTGCCGCTCTGGATTTAAATTAATAAAAACAAAATTGACCCATATAGATGCTAGTTTTTTTGTTTACTTTTTGTTTATCGCATTAACCTTTGACTAGAGTCAAAACGTATGGTATACGAAATTCAAAAATACTTACATTTATTGCTGTTTATCTTAAACAAACACAGTTATTATCTTCATATTCTATATCTCTAGTTGGTAACAAAGCCATAATCCATCCAAGTGTAGCCATCCCGGGAGAATATGTGACAGTATCATGCGACGCTGATTTGGCTGGGGTACCAATTACAGCGTCAGGCTTGGAATATCTGATGTTAACGTGGAATAAACACGAGACGGAGCCAAGTTCTATGCTTATGTATGACATTTCAGGAGATCCTGGAAATACAACTGTAAGAAATGTAACACGAAATTGTATAATTTGAAACGCCTTTAATAATGTGCATAGCTAGAGCTTTTACCTTTAGATGTTGGTGTAGCATGCGTTTAAAAGACGAATATAACTAGTCTACTGCGTTCTCCATCACATGTTGCTTTTCATTTTTGGGTTTGCTTCCATAGCCTTTGTCCAACAAAGAACGAACAAGGCAGAGTTGCTGTCGAGCCCCATCTGCCCAAAGGTTTGAACTCGAGACTTTTCGGTTTAAGAACCATGAGCTTTACCGACTCGACCACGCGGAACTTATATAGTTAGTATTGAAACATACTTTAGGCATAAGTGGACGTAAACTGCTGCATATAGCACAGAAGGCACTAGCTCGTTTATGTAGATTTATAAAGAAGAGAGATACTGTGTATGTGCTTTTGTTGAGAAAATGTTTGTATATTTCTGGAAGACGTAATTTGTATACATGCATTTAATTGACACCTAGATAATTCAATAATGTTTTGTCCTTTTTTTAACAAATCGTTTTAATTAACGTAATGTATAAAATAACACAATTAAAGTACATTTATTACCCAGCACATAAAGTATAACTTTATTTGATAAAAATAAAGCAAAATACTTTCCTTTATCGTGCTAGGTAATTTACAAAATTTTAAATTCCGTTAATTAAGTCAAATTTATGTCATGTTGCATTGTCTTCATGTCTTGAGCCACGTACCAGCTACGAACCATATCTGTCAGTTAGAAGTGTCTGCAATTCGATCTAGACAGACTGACGACAGACTGATGACAGACTGACGAGGAATCGAATTAAATAAAAGCTTGTAAAAATGTTTAAATAACATGCTTTGCTTTTAAATAATAATGCGCTGAAAATGAGAAAAAAAATATTTTCTTTAAATACATAATAATGCTCTACTATTTAAATAACTGTAAAGATAAGCGTAGGTTAATATATTAAGTAATAAATAAATTTACAAAAATGTACGAAGCTACCCACGCCTTTCTTTACAGCTCATTAAATAGTAGTGTATAATTATTAAATTAAAGAAAACTATTTATTTTCTCCTTTTTACTGCATAATTATATAAATACTTGTTATTAAAACGTTTTTTTTTTAAATCTTTTTTGACAATGTATTTTGTATATTTTTTTCGTGTTTAAAGATCACACAATTATAATCTGGAAATAATAGCCCATTAAGGTATTATGTTGTATTAAAATCGTTTTTTTTTCCAACTTCTACAAGGCCTTAACACATATAACCAAACCCAGTTGGACGCAAAAAAGGAATTATTTCATGAACGGACCGAGACCTGTAACAGACCGCGTTACATTCAACATGAAGTTTGTTGCCACTATAGGTCTGAGCATCAATCAGTTTCAAGTCACGTACTCTGGTTGGTATTGTTGTGGTGCTGCTTATGTCGACAATCGAGATGAGAGCAGATACACATACGGCTGTCAATATTTACCTGGTAAAGATGAATTAATGTAAAAAAAAATTAAAAACAGACGGATACACTCACGTGTGTGTGTGAGTGTGTGTGTGAGAGTGTGTGTGTTTGTGTGTGAGTGGGTGTGTGTGTTGCAGTGCTTATTAGCAAATGTAAACTGGACCATGATGAATACTCTAACATTTCTAACACTTGTTATTAACTAGACATTCTTTTTAGTAGGCGTTTTTACACAGTGCTACACAACTCCTAGTTTGAAGGTTAAATGCTGTTAGGTTAGAAGACCTGGGGTCTTGATTAAGGTTCTGATCTCTACCTTGCCGTCTGTATAAACACTACATTCACTGCAGATAAACATAATTCCTTCTGGAAACATCGGCAGCATAGCTCATGTCTACAAATAAATTAGCACAAAACATTTCAATTTCAACGCTGCAAATTATCTTACTTTAACTAATTCGTGTATCTTATTAGATCTCTTTAAATAGCAATTAAATAAAAATTTTACATTTGTTGCATGATTCAACAAACTATCACTTTAATTACACATATACAACCAAAACAACACTGAATAGACTTAAAACTACAAACCGATTTTCGTTATAATTAGATAAATAATTAAACTAATACATTTTCATCGATCGTTCTTCAGAAAGCAGACGTATTGTGCAACTATATGGTGAGAAGACATATCCTCTTGAACAGGCAGTATCGATATTCAAACGCGCCATCAATATGATGTATTCTTTTCTTATTTTTCTAATGAAATGGATTGTGGTTTATTAACAGTACTTTTATTTTTCTACTTCAAACAAAGCATGTGTGGTTTATGTGATTTCCATTTAATCCTTCGCGAACTTTGATATTAGTGTAAAAAAATTACATTGACGTTTTATTTTAAAACAATTAAATAGTGGAAGTGATTTATAAATCTTTATTAATACCGAATTGAAAAACAATTACAACTTTACATATAACAATTTTTTGGACTTCTTTACTTTGAAGGTAATCAATGAATTTTTTACCTTCGTATCATCTTCTCACAAATATTTTTATAGTTATAATTTTACTGATCTGTGTTTAGTACGTCTCGCAATAATTTTTATTATTATATCCGCACATCGCGGTAGAAATGTTGTGCCAAGAAAAAACAAAAAATAGTGTTTAACCTTTTGTTTGCTTTACGTTTAATTTTTACGGTAACGTTTTTTTAAAATGAATTGGATAACATTTGTATTTATAAAATCAGTATTCATTTGAAATATTTTGTGACCATACTAATGTTGTATATTATTTGATTTAATGAATATCACCTAAAATTTGAGTGCAAATGTAAATTTACTAACACATTTGGTAAAGTTTATGAAATTGTTAAAATGTTGCACTCGTAAACCATCATTTTGAAAAAGTCCTCATCCACATATTTTCTTAAATTCATTTGCATTGTTTTTATTTTACCATTTTGACTTGTATTAGCGAAACGGAATAGCAATTTAAAATATTTTAGATAACGACCATTAACTAGATGATGTTGTTATCCTACTTTACTATACTATTAAGTTTAATTACATTTAGGTACCTTTAATACCAAAATGTATTTAATTATCAATGAAATTTACTTCTAACCGCACTAGAGTTCCTGGTGTATCTACTTTTTATTGATAGCAATACTTTGTATCTTCTAATATTTCTTCCTTGCATCAAAATACTATTAATTGGTTAGATTTTTTAAAAATTAAATATTGATACATTTAATTTTATGTGTAAACTATGTATAATATAATAACACAATAAGCTGATTACTTTTTAGGCACCAACACATTTTTATTCTCGGTTTTTACAATATTTATCTTTATTAAAACCAAGTATTTTAACAATTATAATAGTTTTATTATCTTACATTTTTGGTTGGAAATACATAATTAAAATTTTGATAACCTTTCGTGTGTTTACTTTTTTTATATTACGAGTTTTATGAATTTTCGGAAAACAAATTTTTTTTTTTCATTTTTTTCTTAAATGGAAGCAAAAATATTTCGTTTGAAAATTCCACTTCCTTAACATACACATTCATTTCATTTTGTAGCACATTAATTATATGACCATACCGATAATACGCTTATTTATTCACATTTAAGGTTTAAAAATTGCATTATTCTTCATATAGAACCATTCTAACAACAAGAGTTTCCCTAGCACATACAACTAGGGCGTGGCATAACCTTGCTACAGTTTCAAAACGAAAGCTTAATATAATTAACTTTTTGCGTTTAAATTGTATATTGCTGAACGTGTAACTTTTCAGACATTCGGGTTTTGTTTTCTGATAAAATTTATTATTTTAACCATCCCACACAGCATGGGAATGATGACTTTTTTTTAAATTTTGAAAATGTGTCTCAACTTAACAACAACAATTAGTAATTGTCTATTTTGTTTTATTTTAAAGTAAGTTTATATATATTTACACAACCATGATACATTCTGACATGAGTATATAATTTTTAAACAAAGTACATTATGTAACCATAGGCATATGCGTTTTATTTTTATTAACATGTTAAATGATGATCAAATACCTAGGATCACTGTTATTATGATTTTAAAAATTTTAAATCATTCCATAGCCAACTTTTAGAAACATGCAATGCAATTTTAAGTGAAATGCATTTTTACACTCTTTTATTTACCTTTTTTCCTCTGTCTTCCTCTGTCTCTCTCTGTCTAGATCAGTGGTTCCCAAACTTCTTCGAATGGCGACCTCTTTTATAAAAAGTAAGTAGCACGCGACCCCCATTGAATTAAAAAGCACTAAAATAAGATTTCTAGTGGACTTTCTACATGAATTATTCTTGAAAACTGCTTTAATACTATGAGTGAAATTACATGCTATTGAGTAGCCTCAGCATTCGTTATTGAGTTTTTGTTAACGCCAACATCATTTCATTCTCAACAATTAATTTTATTCTTTATTTTGTTGTTAATTTGGAGAAGTGTTGAAAATCTATTCTTGAAAAGATATGTAAACACATAAGGAATTAAAACTCGAAAGGCATTTTCACGTTTGGGTATGAATGGTGCAGTTTTTTATTTAATACGGTACGTGACGCGGAATCATTTCACAAATTTAAGAATTCATCTTGTAATTCATCGGGAATGCTGGCAACATCGAGGGAAGAAAAGAATGCGTTACGCGTCAATGGAGATTTTTCTTCTTTCAGCTCGTGTGTTTTCAGGAGATTCAATATGCCAATAATGCTCTTTCAATTTTTTTATTTATCTCACAATCAGATTCATCTACCACACTGCAGAGATTCTCAAACAAGGCAATAATTCCAAGATTTTTTTCGCCTATTTTTGCAGCTTCGATACAAATGCCCCGAGATTATCACGAAAAGAGATCATATTCCTCTATTTTTCCCCACTACAAGTCAACATCATCTATTCATCAGAATCCGTCTTAAGTCAGCATCTCCAGCAGTAGATACAGTGCTCAACTGTTAGCAGAGTTATCCTCTACCTAGGCTGTGACCACAAGCATCAACGGCAGTTGGTGGATTGTTCAACCTAGCAATCTACCTAGACCATTACAAAAACCTCATCGGCAGTAGTTTGCTCCCCCCCCCCCCCCCCCACGGTATGTCAAACGCTTCGACTCTCCTTTATCCCAAACATCATCGGCAGTAGATTTGGCCACGGGTGTGTCATCCACTACATATTTCTGTGCACTCCAACTCCCTAGGTCCAAATAACTCTAGGAAGCCCCTCCTACGCCCTTCAAGTGGGCTTTTATATACCTGTGCCCCACAACCCCTTCTATGCCCCTGCACCCCACCTCCCTAGGTCCGTATCACCAGCAGAAGACTGAATCACCCTTGTATGGTGATTTACTGTCTACATGTCCGTGTTACCTAACCCCAAGAAACCCCTCCTACGCCCTTACACTGGGTTGTCATATACCTGTGCTCCACAATCCCTCAGCAGTAGACTGGGTCATCTTGATCCTCTGTGTGCTATGACCAGAGCACAGATGAAGAGAAAACACGTTTCCAAGTCAACTCAACAAGTTCAACAATCTAAGTCTGATATCAACGACGAAAGAAGTGCGAACTGTTACCAGCCAACACGTCTTCTGAACTCTGCAGTTCTGAGCCATTTAAGCAGTAAGCTTGCACACCTGAGGGAAAAGCACGCTACAGAGCTTGCTAATTTGATCCATGATTTTGCAGATGTACGTGGTGATATTCCAAAAGAAACCTATCTCTGCGAACATGATAATGAATCTTTATCCAGAGGCGTAGCAAAGGGGGCGGGGGGGGGGGGGGGGTGGACCGCACCGGGTGACACCATTTAGGGGGGGGGGGTGACACCAAGGCAAAATATAGCAAAATATATAGAGAAAAACTTGACGGGGGGGGGTAGAAATCGAAAGTTTCAGGGGAGGGGTGCAAATCAAAAGTTTGAGGGGGGTGCAAATCGAAAGTTTGAGGTAGGGTGCAAATCAAACATTTGAAAGTTTGTCCCTGGGAAGGGTAGCTACGCCTCTGGGGGATGACACCATTAAGTGCCACTGATAATGATATTGATGGCGACCATTCGGCTCAGCTGAAACAGCACCATATAGAGTTAACCCGAAGAAGTTAGCTGTTACCCTTCAAGAGTTTTTAGTATACTATGTCGGACAACGACATCATTGAAGTGAGTAATAGTAACTGGTCTTCTACTTTACTTTTAGTATCTAAACATCAGCAACACAAACATATTTGATTATTGCTGTATAGAAACTACAAAGCATTAACAAATAGCCTTATTTACTTTGTTTGATAGCCTAATTATTTGCACGATCAAAAATGTATAGTTTTGAAAAAACAATTCACGTAGAGGACTATTTGAACCAATAAATACCCTATTTGCTATAAAATTCTTATTTTTTATTTTTGTTAAAGTTGAAAATACCGCGTTTTTTTTAAATAAAGCACTTTGTAATGTATCTCCCATTCGTCAGTCTCCAGTTTGAATCCAAGGTTCGAGTGTCTAATGAAGATTGTCCATCGTTCATTTTCGTCTCTTTAGGTTTTTTTTTTTTTTTACTTATAATGGATTAATACATTTTACTGTTAAAAGTATATATTATGTTCTATATAAATTTCATTTTGTTCGGGGGGGGGGGGGGGGGTAAACGGAAGAAACTCTGCTATTGGTGTCACGAACGTGTACAAACACACGTATAAATACACACACACACTTGTAGGCTGTTATATAATGATTTGGCTGATCGAATGATATGCAGATCAGTGTTTCTTCCAGACTTTTTTCTCCGGGGGGGGGGGGGGGCACTTGAAATCTTCGGGGGGGGGGGGGGTAAACTTTCTTCGGGGGGGGGGGGGCGGACACTGTTAAAAGTATATATTTTCTATATAAATTATATAAATTTCATTTCGTTCGGGGGCGGTAAAAAAAGAGATGCCTGGAAGAAACTCTGATGCAGATTTGTAAATTTCAAATTTGGTTTCAACCCAATCTTCTACGGTGGTCATTATATTTGGTTTCAACCATCCCCCTCCCCCTCAATTTGTGTCGAACGGCTTCAGTTCGTGTAAACATTATATCAACCCTCCTAAAAAGGCATTCAATGAACTAACTTGAACAGTTACTAATTCAATTCTCAACAAAACATTTTTTCTCTTATGTAAAGTGAATTATTAATACAGCTGGATGTAGCAGGTTTACGTCATGATGTCACACGCCCCCCCCCCTTACCCATGTCGAGACTAACATTGAAGACAGACATCTGAGCTAGGTGATAGAGAAAACACAGTGAATTTGTCAAATAATTTATTTAATTAATTTTTTTTAAAATACAACATGCATATAAACCGCCATACTAGCAAGCTTTTAAAATAATATATCGAGCACAACAAAAGAAATAAGAATATTTTATAATGTATACAGTGAGTGGCACTGTTATCTTTTTTCACTTGAGTGTGACAACCATGATAAAAGCTTAAGCTTTTAGAACACTAAAATAATAAACGTTAAAAATATCAAAGTAAAAGATCTATAATATGAATAAAAGTGAATAATATTTTTAAAAAACGTTGACATTGTGTAAATGACAAGATGTTTTAATCCTGTTACTGCATTGAATATTGATGATACTTTAATTTAGCCAGTGGGGGTTGGAGTAGTAAAATATATATCACTTGGTTTAACTTCACATTAAAAAAAACTCAAACTTTTGTTGTACCAAGATAGGTAATGATGCAGTTACTACAAGTTCAAAAGGTTAACCCTTTCCCCGGCGACTGGGTGTAATCGACCCGAAGTCGCTATATTTTTGCTCATATCTCGAGTCTCGTTTTATAAATTTTTCTGGGCCTCATTCCCATCTATAAGGTGGTTGGGATAAACACATTGGAGGTTGTAAATTTTAAAAATATGCGTAAAATTTTTTTTATGAGGGTTTGAAATTTTTTTATACGGTCCCTGGCAACTGGGTGCTACACACCCGTACACAATTTTGAATGGAATAAATATTTATAACTTATAAACTGGCTTCTAACAATTTGTTTTTACTCATTGTGGGTTAAGTCATTGTGTTACATTTTCAAAGTTTAACTATAAATTAACAATCTGAAGGTATTTGAGTAACAAAAATATCAAACTGGATTGAAATAATCAACTTTAGTAATAAAATAATAGAACATTTGCACCCCAGAGAGCACAGTTGTTAGATAAAATTAAAATAACTGGACATTTCCTTTTGCTGGCAGGGAACTTTTGTTTTCTTTGACAAAATATGGGCACCCTTTTAGTGGTGTTACATGAGTCACATGCCCAAAGTATTTTAATTCCATACTTATCGGAATTGCTTGGTATGTATTGGATAAATCTACTCCCACCTCTAAAATCAATCACTTGCTAATTAGTAATGATCTCTCCAGAAACATAACACCTTTCTAAATTTGAATGGAATATCTACCATAATGGAAGCAAATATACCATGAGCCTGATGGACTGTTAGTGTTATTGTTGTGAAGTGAATATGACCCAGAAGGTTGCTGAATTTCTTCATAGAAAATTCTGCCTTCAAAAACTTCCATAAGCAGAACTGAATTGACATACAACTAAATTGTTATTCTGCAGAGTGCCAGTGTCTCCTCTTGCTTTCTCTCCATCCCTGCTAATGCAGTCAAATATTGGTTGTATTATTTTTTGTATTCATGCACAGAAGAAATATTTAGGGTCAGGCTGTTTATAAATTTCCTGGGATTAGCACTTCAGGCAGTGGTCTAGTGTATTGTTACTTTGTCTTTCCTGAAAATATTTCTTTTTCTTCACTTTGCAGCCGTTTCATTTCATTATTAGTGCCAACTGTTGATACATTATTGATAGTTGAAATGCAGTATATTGGGTAGACTTCGTCATCAGAGCTGCTTGATACTGATGGCTGCCAGTCTTCATCTTCTCTCTCTGATACTGATAGTTCAGACTCAAAACTTGTTGGTCATTTTCACCTGTTATACTAAAACTGGCAAATATATCCCTTTATCATTAGCACTTGAGTTTAGACAAAAACATTCAAGACTTGTTTCTGTTGTGTTCTCAATAACGTGTATGACTATTTATAAACCTTACTCTCAGGGTCACAACCTGTAGAACACCCACCCCACTCCCAGTTTGATCAATTAATTGCCCAGTATTAACTTCCAAGCAGCATTACAAAGTTGTTTTGCCTTTTTGTCCTCATTCCTACTCCTAATGAGGTTAATGTCAAGTTACTCTGAAAGGCTCGAATGTCTCTATCTACATTCCAGAGCTCCCAAAAAAGAGTACAAATCACTATATATGTCCTCCCACAGGCAATCTTACCCCTGCATTTCATTAACCTATTGTAACTCTAAACTACAGTTCTGTCTGTAACTGCAAGTCAGAGCTCCAGCAAAGAGTATAAACCACTACATGTGTCCACCCACAGGTTAACTCTTGCTTGAGAATCCCATCAACCTGTAGTATCATATTACAGCTCTCCTATTGACAACATGTCTTGTGTTCCCCATGGCCTCTGTGCCCTGAATACCTCAACTGTGTCAGTATTGTTACCCACCCCACTAAGAATAAAGAAAAGAATTTACTATAAGAAAGTCTTTGGGTGTGATCCACCCAGTTGCCGGGGACAGGGTACCAAATATGTTGCCGGGGAAAGGGTTAACAAGTTTAGAAAGATAAAGTTATACATGGGAATATGTTGGTGTGTGACTGTTGATTTTTAAACAGATATCCTAGGTAGAAAATGTTCTGGATGGCCCATAAGTATCATATACTTATACAAGTTTTTAATTGCATACCTTATAATAATTAATCTTATATGCTAAGCAATAAAATAATATTATTTTTTTAAACAAACAACATTTTTTGTAAATGCATTTGTAACAAAACATCATTGTTTTAATTTAATTTTAAATTGATTTACTTGCTAAAGCTCCTGAATGAATAATTATATTGTTCAATATTATTAATACAAATGCTTAAGACATCAGAGTGAAAATTTTAATCTCTAGTGTACACTGTATCATGTCTACACAGAGTAACCAAAAAAAAAAAAAAACAATTTTTTACTAAATTTCGATTCATATTATTCAATGCCTGAGTGCATTTTTTTATGCTGAGTTAAATTACTCTTCTGAAAGAAGCTTTTACAACAAATTTCACATTCATAGATTTTTTCAGCAAAATGATTTTTTATATGTTTTGTTAAGTAACTTTTGAGAACAAACTTTTTGTAACAAACATCACATTCAAATTGTTTCTCACCAGCATGAAGTTTGACATGTTCATTTAAATGAGACTTCTGAGAAAATTGCTTATCACAAATTACACATACATACTCTTCAAGTACGGGATGGTCTTTTTTATGTTGATAAAATTCCATCCTTAGAGCAAAACTCTGAGAACAAAGATCACATTTAAATAGTTTCTCTCCAAAATGACGTTTTCTGTGCTTAGATAAATATGTATTCAGAACAAATTTTTTATGACAAATTTCACATTCATATTTTTTGTGTTTTGTGTGGAGCATTTTATGTTCAGATAAGTGAGATTTCTGTGTGAAAATTTTAAGACAAATTTCACATTCATATTTATTATCTCTGCAGTGGCTTTTTAAATGTCTCTCGAAAAAAGTTTTTTTAATAAACAGTTTACTGCAAACATTACATTCATATTTTTCATTTAGATAATGGCGCTTTTTGTGTTTAGATAAATACGTTTTTAAAACAAATTTTTTATTACAAATGTCACATTCAAATTTTTTGTCTCCTATATGAAGTACTTTATGTTGAGCTAAATGAGCTTTTGTGGTAAATATTTTTTGGCAAAGATCACATTCGTGTGGTTGATCTTTAAAATAAAGCACTTTATGTAGAGAAAACACAGACACTTGTGGAGTCTCTCCTGTGTGAGTTTTTAAATGCTTTGTAAGAAGGTTGATGCTCACAAACTTTTGTTTACACATATCACACTCATAAAAAATCATATCTTTCTGCATTAACTTAGAGTTCAAGGAGTAATTATCAATTATTGAGTTTTGTAGAAACTTTAGATCTTTTACATCATTATAAATCTCTGATTTCAAGACTGGGAAATATTCACAAACAGCTGAATTTGATGAAAAGTTTACTTGTGTTTCTGAACCATCTTGTATTTCATCCTGAAATGTTGAAAGTGTTGATACACCCTGATTTATATTTTCAAAAGTTGAAAATGACAGATCTGGTTTTATGTCTGCAGATGTTGAAATATCAGTTAATTCATCAGTTGAAAATTCATCAATTGGTTCAATTTTAACCACTGGTGCACTTGAAGGATCTTTAAAATTAGTTTCCTTTTCCATTTTGCATGGATCAAGACTGAAAAAGGAAAACAAAAAAAAATGTTTGATTCAGAGCCAAAATAATTAACAATAATATAAAAATAAACTAATAAATTATTATACTAATGTTTCTAAAGATACATTTTTTTTAAAACATGTTGACATGTACTGAGAAAGATAGTCCATCAGGACATCACCCTCCAACGGGTTAAGATAGACATAAACTTCTGTGACAATTTTGAGGGTCGAAGTCGGTTGAGCTGTTATATTATTTAACTGTCTAAATGGGCGTACATTACAAAAGCTAATCAACACATATTGCATTGTTTAACAAATACACATATGAGCAACAATTCATATTAAAACTATGGTTTGCTACTCAGCCAAAGCGTGTTCTCCATACTATATTTTTCATATTTGTTCTTTTGTAATATAACAATTTCTAACATGGTGTAGCCTGACTCTCAAAAATGAAAATAAACAAAATTTCACATGTAAGTAAAAGATTTCTTTCTTTTCCTTTTGTTGAATTTTGAATAATTTCCGGTGACCGGAAGTAGTATTTCAGGCTATTTCCGATTTGTCAAAAAGCGCTTATGAATTTATAATATCATTATACACACATTGTTTGCTGTTCACTAGTTGCTCAATTCTTATATCTACGATATTCTGTTAAATTTTTAAAAGTTTAAGGAATTAAAAATCATGTCTAGAACTATATCCCAAGGTGCATTCCATGTAGAGTTATATAAGAATATTCGAGAAAATTTAGTATAAGTTCAAGCAGTGATTATTAGCCAGGTAGACTACAATGGAGTTAAAAATTGAGAAGCTCTGTCGCACGGCATTCTAAACTTTAACCCCTCTCCCGTGTGTATTGCAACACCTGCTTTAGACACGAAGGCCCATTTTCTCATTCGACAAACTACAGTTTAGTCCAGGCTTCCTCATGACTTTTGGATTAGTAAATGTGGCTTTTACTGCTAGGCCACACCATCCCTATTTAATATCTTCACAATTTTATAACTGGCTAGCAATAACTGTACGCCATTAAGCTTGTATTGGTTTATTTTATTTTCAATTTAACTCTTATGTATACTAGCAGTAATGTTTACGCTAAATTATTTTGTAGGCAATTTGTTACTTCAAATGCAACAGATAATGTTGACTTTTGGGAAGGAGGCCCTGTTGGTAATGGACATTAATAATTTTGTGACAACCACTTGTTTAAGACATTCTTTTTTGTAAAACAAAAACATTTTGTAAAATAAAATGGTTAATAGGTAACAATCAGGAATACTTTTGAATCATTTTATTTTTATTCTAAAAAGTGTTAGGGGCCTATGAAAATCATTAATTTGTATTTGTGAGAAATATAGTTATGTAAATTATAATGTAATAGAGCTTTAAAAACAAATGTTCTAATTTTTTTTTGAAAATACTAAAAAAATCAAAGGCATCATTTTTTTTGTAAAATATGAGAAAAACCACACAATCACATTTGTAGGCCTAAAACTACATCTATATATATAATTCTCTTCTTGGATACCCTAGAAAACATCAAGCTATAAGTGCGCCTAGCAGCCCCCACTCTTCCTCTCTAAGCATAACCCTACCACCGCCACCCCCACATTTTAGAGGGGTGGCCCTCTTGGTTAACATTGCTTTTAACAATTTTTCACATTCACTGAAATTATTTGTATCTTACCCTTTTACTGATATGATAAGCATGATCCTAGTGAATGTTTTTTTAAAAATTACCTGGTATTTAAAAAGTTAGAGGGGTTTTTGTTCACATCCAAAAAACAAGGGTCACAGAAATTGGAAAAACCCCATAATAAAAACGAAGTGACTACTCAGAAAACGATTTTCACCCCAACGTCTCCACCTGTGCAGTGCATGTGCAGTGACCTATGGCTAGGGTTGGGGTTAGGGGTTGGGCGGTTAAAAACACATGCATGCGCAGTACCATCGAAAACATTGCCCCGAGGGCAAGTCGTAGTTTCTCTCCATTGCGCTTGTGTATCTTTTACCGGCTAGCATCGGCCTAATAAAAAAACCGTTAAAAATTCATAACTTTGAAACAGTTTGAGCTAAAATTTAAAATATCTTTATTCTGGCTAAATGAGCTCTATAAGATGGAGCTATTCCATTTTTCAACTTTTTTAAATTCAAATTTTATCCATGTACCTGCCTAAGTCCCTAAGTTTAAAATTAGAATCTAAGTCTAGAATCTAGATCTAGATTCTTCTACTATTCGACGAGACGTACAACGTACGTTTACTTCTTACTTTACTTACTGTTTTCTTTAACCTAAAATCTCTTGAGTGTGGGAAGGCCTGATAGTATTAATCCCATATTAAATTTCAACGATGCAAGATAAATTAACAATCAATTAGGCCTATTGTTCAAATAAATAGATATCTAGATTACTAGACTACCTAATCCTACTAAATAACATTTGTCAACACTAGTCAACAAGAGCGACCCGGATGTTGTTTCTTAAAAACCGGATATATTGGACTGGATTTAAAAAAAAATAGAAAGCCGCAAAACACGGCTCGTGGGACGGAACGCGAAGTCAAATAATGGCCTAATAAAAAAAATAATAATAATTAATTAGTGGATTTAAATAAGCGGGATTTGAAAATGGTTGGATAAAAAAGGGGAACGATCATTATTATTATTTTAAAAAATGAAAGTCAAAGGATACTCTTAACGCATCCATCCAGTGGCGTAGCGAGGTCGGGTGTCACCCGGTGCGGTATTTAATGGTGTCACCCCCAGAGGCGTAGCGACCCTTCCCGGGGACAAACTTTCAATTTTCGATTTGCACTCCCCCCCCCCCCCTCAAACCCTCAAATCAAACTTTCGATTTGCACCCCACCCCTCAAACTTTCGATTTGCACCCCCCTCAAACTTTCGATTTGCACCCCCCACCCCCACTCAAACTTTCGATTTGCACCTCTTGAAAGACTATTTAACACTCGAATGAATCACTTAATTAAGAGGAATTATCATTTTTCAGTATATATTTTGCTATTTTTTGCCTTGGTGTCAACCCCCCTAATTGGTGTCACCCGGTGCGATCCGCACCACCAAACCCCCCCCCCCCCTCGCTACGTCCCTGCATCCACCAGTAATTCAATTACTTCCAAGTTTGTAAAACTGTAAATAGAGGAAAAAAATAAACAGTAGAATGGGTCTAAACCGATTTTCAAATATCTTACTAACAGGAAACAATTATACCCATTATTATATAGAATCGATCTAGGTTAGAATTTAATAAATCACTTACAAAAGAACTTTGTAACTGTCAAATTAATTGTGCAGATCGAAAATTGTTTTATCTTCTGTCATAACAAAATACCTGAAGTAAAAAATTAAAGAACTATCAACATAATATCCAGAGGCTACAATTATAATAGATGATTATTTCACTAATCCATAATTAAGATAAAATGCGTTAAAATATATTATTAATTCCATTTTAAATTGTTTCCAAGCCTAACGCCTACTTGATATAGTAGTTTTAACAAACCTCAAAATATAGCACACAAATATATACTAATTTTTATCTATTAGAGCTGGCCTATTACTATTTTTATTTATACAAAAAGCTATTAGATCAACGTAGGGGTGATTAGTCATTAATAATGTTTTACGGAAAGAGCAAACGATCAATTTTTTGTGTATGGGGTCAACCATAAATGACGTCAAGCTTTTTCCGACGATTTTTTACCCCCCCCCCTCCCCACGTCACACGTCGTCACAGAAAGCCAGACCCCCCCCCCCCCCCCCCCCCCCCCTTTAAAATAACACGATTTTAAATGCAATGAGAGTAAGAAAATAAAACTAATTTTCATTTTTTTTTTTCATAAAACTGATAGCTCATGAGATCTTTTACATATTTTAGCCACAAAAACTTTTATAAAAGAAAGCAAACTAGTTTAATTTTCTTTTTTTTTCAGTGTACTTAAAAGATTGTTGCCATAAAGGTTTTTTAATACTTTTTTTTTTCGATTATTTTGGAAACTGCTTCCATTTTTTAACTCTCTAGTAGTCTATCATTGAAGATGGTGCTACTACAGTTACGCCTTTTATCCTTCACAAGCACTTTGTTTGGATAGAGGCCAGTGATCTGCTGGTGGTGGTTGTTCATATAACATTTGCTGCCATACAATAGGACATGTATGGGACGGAGTGGCCTAACCCATAAGTCTCGAGTTCAAATCCGGGTTCAAATCAGCAGACCGTCCCTGAGTCCAATCAGCTCTGATTGGTACCTAACTCACGTTAGGGTAAGTAAATGCGGCTAGGCATAGTGCAGACCACACTATCCCTTCAAATGCCGAGGTCACATAAACAAGTGAACTTGCAACGTAGACCGTCAGGTTTGAAAGGGAACTTTACTCTAGATAGGACATTACTTTTGAAAAGCCTGCATTTGGTCTTGGAGATTTTCTTTGATGGCCGTGTTTTTGCATGCTTGCAAAAGGATTGTTTGATAAGTTGTTTGGCTTTAGAGGATGTGTGTTTTAAGTTCAGCGGTGCAGTCTGCTTCATAATGATGGGGGGGGGGGGGAAGGGAGAGAGTGTTCAACAGGACTTACTAAATACACCTAAAAATGTATAGACATTTAAGTGCGTATTTGTTTGTTTAGATTCATACCTACACACATAAACATATATAAAAATATGGCTGCCTTTGTTATCTGGTTTAAGTGTAACAATTATATTAATCAGTGGATTTATAAATATGTGTAATATAACACAATTATATCAATAAGTTGATTTATAAATATGTGTAATATAACAGTTTTTGTTTATTTTGAATATTACAATTAAAAAGAATTTTCATAACTATAAATTTTACTGTTGACTAAATTAATATTGAGCATCGATTATATTAAGTACATATAGGAAGGATCAGACCCCTCGGAATATATATAAAAAGTATAAAGGAGGGGGGTGCAAATCGAAAGTTTGTCCCTGAAGAAAAGCAGGCTGAAATCGGAGTCAATGGCCTCAATGGCGCATAACCAGTTGACACGTAACGCTTAATTGTGTTGGAGGCGTGGTCGAGTCGGCAAAAAGCTCATGGTTGATAAATTCGAAAAAAGTCTCGAGTTCAAACCCACTGGCAGATAAATCTCGATCTCCTTCAACACTAAAAATTAAGCACGAAGAAGAAGTCCCTGGGTAAAAATTGGACCCCCCCCCCCCTTGAGACGATCCTGGCTACGCCACTGGGCAAGATGTATAGCAGTGTTTTAGATTGTTTTAGAATTAAAAACATATTTGTGTGTAAATAAGGTTATCAATAAAATTATTTTCATAACTACAGTTGGCCCTATATTCTTATATTATTATGTATTTGTATGAATAGTATGATATGATGGTAATAAAATAACACTAAAAAAACTATTGTGCATTTAATTTTATTGATTTACTTAAAAATTAAACACAACCAGGTAATTTTTAAAACAAAATTTTACAGAATTAATTTAAAGGTGTAGATAATTTAACATTTAATTTTGATTTACTCTGTGATGGCAGTTCATTATTATTAATAAAATTATATTCCTATAAACAAAGAGTATATCAACATTTTCCTGTGTTATAATATGAAAATAAAAAGTGTAAAATTATAAGATTTAAGATGGATAGAAATGAGACAACAGAAAATCTCTGTGAAATGTGTATGAATGGTAGTAAATTTAAGTGCAGGTGTAGGTGGCCTATTATGGCTTTCTACCATCTTAATAAAAACATTTAACAGTCAGATTTACAACACTAATACATTTTTAGCGTACTTAAAAACAAGCACTTAACATTATTTACAATTGAAATATAAAAAGAAATATTATGACAAATGTTCAAAGACTGATTGGTTTTACTTAATTTGTAATTAGCTAGAACTAAGATCAACATGAAATAAAGCCAAAGAAATATTTTATTGGAATAATTTTTTTCCATGTATCCAGTACATAGGGAATCACAGAAAAATATCTTTCCACTTTTACCTTTTTCTGGCAACTTTTATTGCAGTTTTCCAGAATATTCCAGAATATTTCAGCTATCGTCAGTCCTTTTTCTCCAAAGCTTTTCCATGTTTTCTCATGGCCTTCACTGTTTTCCTTTATCCGATTCAGCTCCATTGTTGTAATTTAATCAGCTTTCATCCAGTGCCATATCTTTTCAATTCTGATATGGCTTCCATTTCTTTTAGTAACTTTTATGTTGGGTCAGTGAATGCCTTTTATCCTATTCAGGCACTTAAATTGGTAGGAATCCAGAGAGTTGATGGTAGCAGAGTTGATTTCCACCATTCACTGCCAGAAAGTGGAATTATACCCTCAGTAATAAAGCTTGTCTTTATGGTAATAATTCTAATCTTAACAAATTTTCTCTATGAGATCATAAGCAATGATGTGCTTTGATCCTATTTTTTAATAACATGTTGTAAAAAGATACACTATACTATGTCATACACATTTAAGCCATATAAGTAGTTATTTAGAAATTTTTATAATAAAACAATTCAACAAGTCATGAACTGAACAGAAATGAGTTTTGTTATCACAATGTAAATTGATTGATATGAGTAGGATGATAAACATTATAATTATAAAAATTATATATATATATATATATATATATATATATATATATATATATATATATATATATATATATATATATATATATTAAAATACACAATTTATGCAGAGAAATAAAACCTCTGATAATAGACCTAAATTCGATCTAATTTATGAATTAGAGTGGAGTAGTACTAAATCTAAATGACCATAGTCATGATAATGATAACAACTTTTACTTCCAGAGCAGCAGAGCATACATCTTTCTTTAACAACTTGTATTTTTCTATTATTTCTAACCACGTGTGATTACAATAAATATTATTTTATTTACAATTTAGTTTAAATAACCCTGTGAGGTACATAAAATTTGTTTCAAAACCTCAGGACCTTGGATTTAGCAGTCGAGGGTTATACCACTCAGCCATCCTGGCCCTCACATGACATACAGATTTCTTAAAAAAAAATTTAAAAAGAATGACAGATTATGTAATGTTTGAATTATTATGTTATTTGTATTGGGCCTTTTTTATGTGAGCTGGAAAATGTTTAAAGTAAAGTATGATACAAAAAGAAAAATATAACAATTTGTAATTTTTGTTAAAATAAAGGATTAATTAAACATAGGTAAACTGAAAACTTTTTACAATACCAACACACAACAGATGGGGCCAGTAAAGGTAAGCACCCCTTTGTATATAAAATTACAGGCATTTCTATCCAGTTACAATAACTAATCTTTGCCAGCCTTTTACTAGATTTGACAACATCTGGAAGCTTAGATTCAATAAAATTTGACATTTGACTTTAAAATATTTGTTTGAAAAAAAGACGTAACGTACTTAAAAGCATAACAATTTAAATTATATTTCCTTATGTTTTTCAAATATATAAAACAACCAATACAACTTTCTCTACAATACAAATATATTTATGTTAACTTTACAAAAAAAACAATTTCATAGGCTTTGATAAAAATGTTCAGAACAAACATTCTTTCTAAATCATATTTATTATAATTATCTTTTATTAAACCAAATATACACTTGCTATTCAAATAAGACTTTTTAGGTAAATATGATGGCAAATTCTGAGTAAATATTAATTTTCTTCTAAATGTATCTTTTTATGTCGTTGAAAATGAAATTCCCTTTTAAACATTTTGTGACAAACCTCACATTCAAGGTGTCCATATTTATCATGAACTTTCTTATGTTTTGTTAAATACATCCTCATATTAAACTTTTGATGACAAATTGTACATTCAAATTTCTCATCTCCAGTATGAAGCCTTTTATGCTTATTAAAAGAAGAGTTAGTGGAATATATTTTATGGCAAACATCACACTCATAAGTTTTACTGCCACAGTTCATTTTTTTATGTTGCTCTATTAGATATTTCTTGAAAATAACCTTATGGCAAACTTCACATTCATAGTTGTCTACTTCATCGTGAATTTTTACATGTCTTGCTAAGTAATGGTTCAGAGCAAACTTTTTGTGACAAATGTCACATTCGTATGGTTTTTCTCCAGTATGAAGCAATTTATGCTGAGTTAAATGAGAATTCTGAGTAAACTTTCTATGGCAAATTTCACATCCAAACTGCCTATCTCCAAGATGAATCTTTTCATGTTGAATTAAATTTGTCTTTAGAAAAAATCTTTTAAGACAAAAATTACATTCATATTGCTTCTCTTCAAAATGAAGTTTTTTATGTCTAGACAAATTGACCTTTTGAGAAAACTTTTTTTGACAAATGTCACATTCAAATCTCCTATCTTGAGAATGGCGTTTTTTATGTTCTTGCAAATAAAGCTTTTGTGCAAACATTTTATGACAAACATCACATTCATGTTCTTTCCCTATCGAAGAATGAATCCTTTTATGTTGAAATAAAGCAGCTCTCATAGTAAACCTTTTAAAACAAATATCACATTGAAATGGTTTATCTCCAAAATGAAATTTTCTATGTGTTGCTAAATAACACTTATGGGTAAACTTTTTATGGCAAATGTTACACTCATATTGCTTTTCTCTAGAATGAATGTTTTTATGGACAGTTAAGTAAGATTTCTGAGAATATTTTTTGTGACAAACATCACACTCAAATTGATTTTCACCAGTATGAATATTTTTATGCACATCTAAATTAGACTTCTGTAAAAACCTTTTATGACAAACATCACATTCATATGGCCTTTTTTTTGAATACATCAAGTTACGCAGATTAAAGCCAGACTTATGTAATTTCTCTCCTATATGTTTTCTTAAATGTTGTCTTATGTTGCTATTCCTCATGAATTTTTTATTACATAAATCACACAAGTATGATATCACATCTCTGTGAATTAATGGATATCTTAAAGAAGAGTAATCAATAGATATGTTTTGCTGAGTTTCCAGTTCATCTGAATTGTTATAAATCTCTGGTTTTTCATCCTTAACTGTTGATACATCTTGATTTATGTCTTCGTGATATGAAATGGATCTATCTGGATCAATGCCTTCATACGTGGAAATTGATTCTTCTGGATTTATGTCTTCAGGTGTTGAATCTGATATATTTGGATTTCTTTCGTTAAAAGTACTAATGGACACGTCTGGTTTTATGTCTTCAAAAGTTGCACTATCAGTTGAAACATCTGTTGTTATTACCTCATATGGTTCCACTTTAACTACTGGTGTATTTAGAATTACATGTGTTTCCCCTTCCATTCTTGATTGGTTACTAAAAAAAAATAATGTATGATTCCAATAAGCCACTATTACATAAAACATATAGTGTGTTTTTAAAATAAACATTTTTTTTGCTACATGTTAACTACTGAAAATTCATGCATGTCATTGCTTATAGCGTTCTAAAAAATGTATAAACAGTATAACCCCATACAATACTTATGCTGGGTGGGGGTAAACTGCAAAGATGTCTGGACAAATTATTCTGCAACCAACTTAAAATGAACTCTGATACAGACTTTAAAGACTTTTTGTTTGATTTTTCCATCGCTAGATGTGCTGATGATTTAACATCTTCTTTCTTTTATGTTGAAGACTGAAACTGCCAGATATATCGCATTCGAACATTACCATGCTCAAAGCCACCGCAAACATAAGTTGAACTGTTGCAAAGAAATTTTGTAATATTACTGCCGCCTACTATTTATTTTTTTATCGTTGATTTTTTGTTTACTTTTATAATTTAAATTACTTAATAAAAAATAAAATAAATTTCTGACAGCCCACATCATAGTATATTTTTTGTTTACAAAACTTTGCAAATAAAAATTTTAAATAACAATGATGTAAATTTAAACAGCATGACCTAAATCTGCCATTTTATATTTACAATTTGTACAATAAAATCTATGCAAGACTTTCAAATAGTAGGATGCCATTGTTTATGTCACCATTACATGTATAAACCACATTGTTTTTGCTTTTTAAAATTTTTTTATTTAGTTAGGCCTACCGAAAATATTAAATTAAAACCATAAAATTACCCTACAACTTTTATTCTTTAGTAAAGTCAGAAAAAAACCAGACAGGATTTTATAACCATATTCATTTTAACGAAATGACTACTCAGAAAAAGATTTTTTCGGCAGAAAATATGAAACTCAATAGTTATGGGCATGTAGAGTAAGCTTAATATCTACTCTAGGGTTAGAGTTAGGACAAGAGTTCTGCTGTTAGTTTGTAAACACACATATGTGCCGTTGAAAATCTCGCAGCGAATGAAGGCGTTAGTTTCTCTCAATTGCGCATGCGAATCTTTTTGGCTAGAATCGGCCTAATTTTAACAAGGTCTAGATCTTACCCCTTGCATGATTTTTAAAATATTTAATTTTAAATTATAATAAAAAATTAAAATTTTTAATGGGCCTCTCGAATACCTTGTGCCTAGTTTGATTGAGACATTACTTTACTTGCTCGGGTCATTGATCATTAATACTAATTAATAGATTAGCCTATAGATCATATTCATAAATTATAAATCTAGATCTGAAGTAATCTATCATTTTAGGTAGATCTACATAAATTGGCTGAGAATGTAAAAAAAGGTGACTCATTAGGCCTATTAATAGTAATTTAATGGACACCAGCGAGAAAAGTCTCAAAGGTATTTGAGAGGTCCATAAATTAATTTTAAACTCTTGCATGATGTAGTTACAATTAATATGGTTATAAAATCCTGTCTGTCTGGTTTTTATCGGACTTTACTAAAGATTGGATGTATTTGATGTTTTTAATATTTTCTGTAACTAAATAAAAATAAAAAAAAAAGCAAAAACAATTTGGTTTTCACTTGTAATGGCGACATAAACAATGGCATCCTGCTATTCGATAGGCCGCCATAAATTTTATTGTACACTTTGTAAGCTAAATATAGAAAAACTAGGTCATGGTGTTTAAATTTGCTTTGTTGTTTAAAAACTTGATCTGCCAAGTTTTGTAAACAAAATAACTATAAAGTGGGGCTGTCAGAAATCGATCACGGAGTTCCTTTACTGTACAGCCAATCAATGTTTGTCTTACGAAAGTGAAACATAAGGTTATAACTTGGGCTTGGTGAAAATAAATAGAAATGTAGGCCTAGTTAAATGTAGCCTTAAACTCAACAAATTATTTTCAAGTTCTCTGGATCTGCAATTTGTATAGCATTGATTCTAAAAATATTAAATTTCTGAATTAATTTTAGGCTTAAGTTTTTAATAAAATTTTATCTTTTATTATTTTTATGGTCCTAAATCTAAAAAAGCACATTTTTATTCCATGTCAACAACATTACGAAAGGATTTTCGTCAACTCACTGGTGTCCATTAGTGATTAGGCCTATTTCACATTTTTAGTAGGATTTAATTTACAGTTTACAGTGTTACTGATTTACGTTTTGAAAGTAACAAAAAAAAATGATTCAAAGTTTCATTAATGTACCTGTTTTTAAATGATTATATTAAAACTTTTCAGTAAAAAATAAAGACTAGCAATGTTTTCATCAGATGCAACCTAGCTCATGTACTTTAGCAGCCATCTTGTTTATTTTTTTTAGTCTAATTATGGTTAGAGACTCAGGGGAAACCACTCTAACTTACAAATGGCCGCTGTTTATATAGCAAATCTTGCTCACAAACACTGCTGTTTTAAAGTTAATTTCTGGCCTATAGGGCCTCTATTGATATATTTAACCATTGATTTTGTTTAATTATTCAAATATCTATAATATGGAATAAGATTTGCTATTTATTCAGCAGCCATTTGTAAAATCGAGTGTAAAAAATAAACTTCAGTGGACTTAAGGATAGGCTACTGGATGGAGGGGAGGGGGGGGACTCGTGATCACATGGATGTTCTTGAATTTAACATCGAAGTACCTAGATTTTAAAAAAAAAACACAACTCGTATGCTGTGTGTAAAATTTAAAATTAAGACTGTTCAGCTGGAACTTAAACGGCGGGATTTTTTTTTTACCTAAACTAGGGCTATCCATACAATAAACGACAGCACCTTTTTACCGGCTCCCGGTCAAAAACCCCCTGGACATAAACCCTCCGTGATATAAACCCCCTTGACGAAAAGCCCACCATTTAATTGTAAATGCCAAATGGCCTACATTGGCCTACATATTATTATACTGACTGGAGATTTGATGTAGATAAATTAGATTATTTTTTCTAAGAAAATATTATTTTTAAATGTTAGGCCTATTCAATTTATAATTTTTATATCAGCATGTCGGCCATTCAACGATCTATCACGTGTAGCTGACGCCAAACAGAGATACCTGTATGGTATTGCACGAATGCTATTTTTAGCATCAGTGATGCGGTTGAAAAAAACGAACTAAAAAGTGGTTTTTAAAAAGCGGGTCAGGGGAGGTAATTCAACTCGCGTTATGAGACTAGCTACTTCTTACATTACTTACTCTTATTTAGTAGGCCTAATATTTAGACTTATTATTAGACATTAGAGTTGAGAGTGATTAGACGATTAGTATTAAGTTTCTATACTATTAACTTACTATTATTAGATCTACTTAAAAATCTCCTGAATGTGAGAAGGCCTGATAGTATTAATCCCATATTAAATTTCAACGATGCAAGATAAATTAACAATTGATTATTGTTAAATTAGATCTAGACTCCAGGTAATTCAGATTACTAATAAAAAGTAATAATGTAATAACTAATAACATTTGTCAACACTAGTCAACAAGAGCGACCCGAACGATCATTATTTAAAAAAAGAAAATGACAGTCAAAGGTGGGGGGGGGGGGGGAGTACCCCCTTCCCCCCCCCCCCCCCCCCCCCCCCCCCCCCCGAAGAGATGCCTAGAGGAAACTCTGCAGATAATCGTCCTTCACATATCGTTATAAAGAAAATACTTTCAGTTGTTTCGACTTCATAAACAAGGAATCACTAAAAGTATAAAATAAACAATTGTTAAAAAAAAAAAAACAACTTATAAAGACATGATTTTAAATGCACTGAGAGTAAGAAAATAAAACTAAGTTTCTTTTTTTTTTCATAAAAGCTCATGAGATCTTTTACACATTTTAACAACGAAAGCATTTATGAAAGAAAGCAAACTAGTTTTATTTTCTTATTTTCAGTGCATTCAAAAACTTGTTGCCATAAAGGTTTTTTTTATACTTGTTATTTCCCCCCCCCCCCCCCCCCCCCCCGATTATTTTGGAAACTGCTTCCATTTTTAACTCTCTAGTAGTCTATCATTCGAGATGACGCTACGACAGTGTATGCCTTTTATCATTCACAAGCACTTTGTTTGGATAGAGGCCAGTGATCTGCTGGTGGTGGTTGTTCATGACATTTGCTGCCACTTATGGGACGGAGTGGCCTAACCCATAAGTCTCGAGTTCAAATCCGGGTTCAAGTCAGCAGACCGTCCCTGAGTCCAACCAGCTATGATGGGTACCTAACTCACGTTAGGTTAAGTAAAGGCGGCTGGGCATAGTGCAGACCACACTTTCCCTTCATATGCCGAGGTCACAGACACAACTAAACTCCACTTGCACCGTAGACCGTCAGGTTTGAAAGGGAACTTTACTTTAGACAGGACATTACTTTTGAAAAGTCTGCATTTGGTCTTGGAGATTTTCTTTGATGGCCGTGTTTTTGCATGCTTGCAAAAGGATTGTTTGATAAGTTGTTTGGCTTTAGAGGATGTGTGTTTTAAGTTCAGCGGTTTAGTCTGCTTCATAATGATTGGGGGGGGGGGAGTGTTAAACAGGACTTACTAAATACACCTAAAAATGTATAGACATTTAAGTGTGTACTTGTTTGTTTAGATTCATACCTACACACATAAACATATATAAAAATATGGCTGCCTTTGTTATCTGGTTTAAATGTAACACTTATATTAATTAATGTATTTATGAATATGTGTAACATAACAGTTTTCATTTATTTTGAATATTACAATTTTAAAAAATTTCATAACTGTAAATTTTCCTGATTAAATAAATATCGATTATGTTAAGTATGTAGAGGCAACATGTATAGCAGTGTTTTAGATTGTTTAAGAATTAAAAACACATTTGTATGTAACTAAGGTTATCAATGAAATTATGTTCATAACTACAGTTGGCCCTATATTCTCACATTATCATTATGTATTTGAATGATAGGGTGATAATAAAATAACACTAAACAAAAACAATTGTGCATTTAATTTTATTGATTTACTTAAAAGTAAAACACAACCAGGTAATTTTTTAAACAAAATTTTACAGAATTAATTTAAAGGTGTAGATTTAATTTAATTTTTAATTTTGATTTACTCGGTGATGGCAGTTCATTATTATTAATAAAATTATACTCCTATAAACAAAGAGTATATCAACATTTTCCTGTGTTATAATATGAAAATAAAAAGTGTAAAATAAAAGATTTAAGATGGATAGAAATGAGATAGTCTAGGATTCTAGAACTTGAGACAACAGAAAAATTCTGTGAAATGTGTATGAATGGTAGTGAATTTAAGTGCAGGTGTAGGTGGCCTATTATGGCTTTCAACCATCTTAATAAAAATATTTAACAGTCAGATTTACAACACTAATACATTTTTATAGTACTTAAAATTAAAAACAAGCACTTAACATTATTTACAATTGAAATATAAAAAGAAAGAAATATGCCAAATGTTCAAAGACTGATAGGTTTTACTTAATTTGTAATTAGCTAGAACTAAGAGAAACATGAAATGAAGCCAAAGAAATATTTTATTGGAATAAAAAATTGTTCCATGTGTCCAGAACATAAGGATATCACACAAAAAAAATCTTTCCACTTCTGACTTTTTCTGGCAACTTTTATTGCAGTTTTCCAGAATATTCAAGAATATTTCAGCTATCGTCAGTCCTTTTTCTCCAAAGCTTTTCCCTGTTTTCTCATGGCCTTCACTGTTTTCCTTTATCCGATTCAGCTCCATTGTTGTAATTTAATCAGATTTCATCCAGTGCCATATCTTTTCAATTACTTCTGATATGGCTTCCATTTCTTTTAGTAACTTTTATGTTGGGTCAGTGAATGCCTTTTATCCCATTCAGGCACTTAAATTGGTAGGAATGCAGAGAGTTGATGGTAGCAGAGTTGATTTTCACCATTCACTGCCAGAAAGTGGAATTATACCCTCAGTAATAAGGCTAGTCTCTATGGTAATAATTCTAATCTTAACAAATTTTCTCTTTGAGATCATAAGCAATGATGTGCTTTGATCCCCTTTTTAATAACATGATGTAAAAAGATACACTACACTATGTCATACACATTTAAGTTATTTAGAATTTTTTATAATAAAACAATTTAACAAATGATGTACAGAAATGAATTATGTTTTGACAATGTAAATTGATTAATATGAGTAGGATGATAAACATTATAATTATATATATATATATATATATATATATATATATATATATATATATATATATATATATATATATATATATATATATATATATATATATATATATATATATATATATATATATAAAATATATATATATATATATATAATATATATATATATATAATATATATATATATATAATATATATATATATGTATAAATTAATATACACAATTTTTGCAGAGAAATAAAACCTCTGATAATAGAAATAAATTCTATCTAATTCATGAATTAGAGTGGAGTAGTACTACATCTAAATGACCATAGTCATGATAATGATAACAACTTTTACTTCCAGAACAGCAGAGCATACATCTTTCTTTAACAACTTGTATTTTTTCTATTATTTCTAACCACGTGAGAATACAATAAATATTATTTCATTTACAATTTAGTTTAAATTACCCTGTGAGGGTACATAAAAATTGTTTCAAAATCTATTTATAAACAATATAGTAATCATATACATGACACAAAAAGTTATTCATTCTGATCAGATGGTCAGTATGGCAGATGAATTTCATGTGACATATAAGGGGACAGTGTGGGCTAGTGGTAGTGTTAGACTACTAACTCGAAAGTCTTGAGTTCAAATCAGTAGAACGTCCCTGATTCCACCCAGCTTTGATGGGCACCTTATGTACATTAAGGAAACAAAGGTGGCTGAGCATATGTCAACCACATTATCCCCTTCATGCCGAAGTCATTCAAACAGATGAACTTAAACTTTATCTGCCCCATGTTTCTTAGGCACACACAGGGAAAAGATGATGATGACATATCAGGAAAGTGTTGTCAGTACTAGGCTGCCTTTTCTTTCCTCACATTCATCTGTGAGCTGGGTGAACCAAAATATGTTCCTAAGATCCAAGTCTGAGATCTGACCTTTGACCTCAGGACTTTGCATTTAGCAGTTGAGGGTTATACCACTCAGCCATCCTGGTGCTCACATGACATACAGATTTCTTCAAAAAAAAATGACAGATTATGTAATGCTTGAATTTTTATGTTATTTGTATTGAGCCTTTTTCATGTGAGCTGGAAAATGTTTAAAGTAAAGTATGATACAAAAAGAAAAATATAATAACAATTTGTAATTTTTGTTAAAATAAAGGATTAATTAAACATAGGTAAACTAAAAACTTTTTACAATACCAACACACAACAGATGGGGCCAGTAAAATTTAGCCACCCTTTGATTTTGTTTGAAAAAAAGACGTAACGTACTTAAAAGCATAACGATTTATATTATATTTCCTTATGTTTTTCAAATATATAAAACAGCCAATACAACTTTCTCTACAATACAAATATATTTATGTTAACTTTACAAAAAACAATTTCATAGGCTTTGATAAAAATGTTCAGAACAAACATTCTGTCTAAATCATATTTATTATAATTATCTTTTATTAAACCAAATATATACTTGCTATTCAAATAAGACTTTTTAGGTAAATATGATGGCAAATTCTGAGTAAATATTAATTTTCTTCTAAATGTATCTTTTTATGTCGTTGAAAATGAAATTCCCTTTTAAACATTTTGTGACAAACCTCACATTCAAGGTGTCCATATTTATCATGAACTTTCTTATGTTTTATCAAATACATCCTCATATCAAATTTTTGATGACAAATTGTACATTCATATTTCTCATCTCCAGTATGATGCCTTTTATGCCTATTAAAAGAAGAGTTAGTGGAATATATTTTATGACAAACATCACACTCATAAGTTTTACTGCCACAGTTCAATTTTTTATGTTGCTCTATAAGATATTTCTTGAGAATAACTTTATGGCAAACTTCACATTCATAGTTGTCTACTTTATCATGAATTTTTACATGTTTTGCTAAGTAATGGTTCAGAGCAAACTTTTTATGACAAATGTCACATTCGTATGGTTTTTCTCCAGTATGAAGCATTTTATGCTGAGTTAAATGAGAATTCTGAGTAAACTTTCTATGGCAAATTTCACATCCAAACTGCCTATCTCCAAGATGAATCTTTTCATGTTGAGTTAAATCTGTCTTTAGAAAAAATCTTTTAAGACAAAAATTACATTCATATTGCTTCTCTTCAAAATGACGTTTTAAATGACTATACAAATAGACCTTTTGAGAAAACTTTTTTTGACAAATGTCACATTTAAATCTCCTATCTTGAGAATGGCGTTTTTTATGTTCTTGCAAATAAAGCTTTTGTGCAAACATTTTATGACAAACATCACATTCATGTTCTTTCCCTATCGAAGAATGAATCCTTTTATGTTGAAATAAAGCAGCTCTTATAGTAAACCTTTTAAAACAAATATCACATTGAAATGGTTTGTCTCCAAAATGGAATTTTCTATGTGTTGCTAAATAACACTTTTGGGTAAACTTTTTATGGCAAATGTTACACTCATATTGCTTTTCACCAGTATGAATATATTTATGCACATCTAAATTAGACTTCTGTAAAAACCTTTTATGACATACATCACATTCATATGGCCTTTTTTTCTCTCCTATATGTTTTCTTAAATGTTGTCTTATGTTTCTATTTCTCATGAATTTTCGATTACATAGATCACACAAGTATGAAATCACATCTCTGTGAATTAATGGATATCTTAAAGAAGAGTAATCAATAGATATGTTTTGCTGAGTTTCCAGTTCATCTAAATTGTTATAAATCTCTGGTTTTTCATTCTTAACCGTTGATACATCTTGATTTATGTCTTCGTGATATGAAATGGATCTATCTGGATCAATGCCTTCATAAGTGGAAATTGATTCTTCTGGATTTATGTCTTCAAGTGTTGAATCTGATATATTTGGATTTCTCTCGTTTAAAGTGCTAATGGATATGTCTGGTTTTATGTCTTCAAAAGTTGCACTATCAGTTGAAACATCTGTTGTAATTACCTCATATGGTTCCACTTTAACTACTGGTGTATTTAGAATTACATGTGTTTCCCCTTCCATTCTTGATTGGTTACTAAAAAAAAATAATGTATGGTTCCAATAAGCCACTATTACATAAAACATATAGTGTGTTTTAAAATAAACATTTTTTTTGCTACAAGTTAACTACTGAAAATCCCTGCATGTCATTGCTTATAGGGTTCTAAAAAATGTATAAACAGTATAACCCCATACAATACTTATGCTGGGAGGGGGTAAACTGCAAAAATGTCTGGACAAATTATCCGCAACCAATTTAAAATGAACACTGATACAGACTTTAAAGACTTTTTGTTTGATTTTTCCATCGCTAGATGATTTAACATCTTTCTTTTATGTTGAAGACTGAAACTGCCAGATATATCGCATTCGAACATCACCATGCTCAAAGCCACCGCAAACATAAGTTGAACTGTTGCAAAGAAATTTTGTAATATTACTGCCGCCTAATATTTATTTTGTTATCGTTGATTTTTTGTTTACTTTTATAATTTAAATTACTTAATAAAAAATAAAATAAACATTTTAAATTGTTTATTTATACTTCCACGCTTAATACAAATTGTTAAAGATTGAAAGGTATTGGCCTTACACAAACAATGTGGCTGACAAGATTATATGAACTCATAGTGATCCAAAGCATGGTTTGTCATACTGCTATTGTCAAGGCTATGACCTATGGTAAAATTTTTATGTGCACCTAACCCTTCAAATGGTTTTTTTTTTCTCACAAAGACAAGTAAACTTGAGCAGGTGATCATAGGAGCAACAATGTCATAATTTTTTAATATTTAAAAGAAATCCTAGCTAGATCAAGAACATTTTTTTAAAAATATATAATAAAATAAAATTGCAGTTTGACACCGTTTATATATATATATATATATATATATATATATATATATATATATATATATATATATATATATATATATATATATATATATATATAAATATATAAATATATAAATATATATATATATATATATATATATATATATATATATATATATATATATATATATATATATATGGTTCCATGACAAATGATCTCAGGACAAATGATCTCAGACAAATTATCTCACAGCAAAATTTTATCAGTATGTACGATGATTTTAGGGACGGAGTGGTCTAGCGGTAGAGAGCTGGACTACTAACCCGTAAGTCTCGAGTTCGAATCAGGGTTCAAATCAGCAGACCGTCCCTGAGTCCACCCAACTCTGATGGGTACCTAACTCACGTTAGGGAAAGTAAAGGCGGCTGGGCATAGTGCTGACCACACTATCTCTTCATATGCCGAGGTCACAGAAACAAGTGAACTCTACTTCACTTGCCCCATAGACCGTCAGGTTTGAAAGGGAAACTTTACTTTACTTTACGATGATTTTAGTTGATTTGAACTTTTTTAAAAATTGACTGTATGTATGGTTTTGTTTACTCTTTTTATGCATAATAATTGATTGTTATAAAATGAATTTGTTAAACTTAACACACAAATTTGAATAAGACTTCAGGTTTGTAACTTAAAACTGTTGTTTTTACTGCATCATCAACACAAAAATAAAGTTTACGTTACTTTGCTGGCAGGTACATCGTTATGATCACACATTTCCAATACTATGTGATCATGTATTGTGTGAGCTTTCTCTATAGCCTACATGTTCTTACTTGACATTTCCAAATCTCTTTGCCTGCTGCTCTACTTATGACTTTTATAAACAGAAATTCAGTAGAAACTAATGTCCTATACCTTATCTGCGAGGTAACGAAAGAGGCCTTAGCTGAGTAATCACCACTAATACTGCTTTGTTTGTGTGCACACTACGACAAACTTAGCTCCGCGATGACCGCTGCCGTTTAAATAAGCCTTTGTCACCTGATCACTAAGGTGTGACCGACGCATAACAATTGACTTTGGATGCAAGTTGTATTGTCCATGGAGGGCGTATGTCTTTCCCTTAAGGCATGTCTCTGCCTTCAAAACGAGCGGCCACCTTGATTCGAAGCTGTGTCTTTATTGTTATTTTATTCCCTTTGATCTAGTTTCGTCCACCTGACATGGTAGGATTGTTTCGTGTTTGTCAAGCGCACCTACGCTGTCTATCGAACAAAATTCTTTAATTTTCACATACTATATTAGTAATCTTAATTTTTAGTGCAACATGGCAAAGTTATATGGCAAATATTTCTTACAATTATTATATAGGCCTATAAACAATATTAAACATAGTAAACAAAACCATATGACAGTCAATAAAAAAAAATGTTCAGATCAACTAAAATTATCCAATACACTTTTAAAATTTTGCTGTGAGATATTTTGTCTGAGATATTTTGTCTGAGATCAATTGTCCATGATATCTTTTGTCCTGATATATTTTGTCCTGGTATCTTTTGTCCGTGAGATCATTTGTCCGTGAGATCATTTGTCCTTGAGATCATTTGTCCTGAGATCATTTGTCCTGAGATCATTTGTCCGTGAGATATTTTGTCTGAGATCATTTGTCCTGAGATCATTTGTCCTGTCACCATATATATATATATATATATATATATATATATATATATATATATATATATATATATATATATATATATATATATATATATATATATTCCCCAAATCCTAATCAAAGATCATAATATTAAAATAAAAATATTGGTGGCTCTTTAAAAACTGGGAAATTTTGTAAATAGTAACTTTTGGCTCTTCCGTCTCAAAAGGTTGCCGACCCCTGGCCTAGGGTAATATAGCATCTGTTATTATTCTAGAACTAAATACTAGTCTAAATTCTTTAATTAAATTTAAATTAAGGCCTACTAGATCTAGGCCTATAAACTATAAAAACATTAAATTTGATTAATATTCATGAATAAATATTAAATGAAAATATATTAAAGAATTGATGAATAACAATGATTAGACCTAATGGAGGCAACCGAGTTGACAAAAATACTTCCATCATATTATATTGACTTTATTGTTGACATGGATTAAAAGCATGCTTTTAATATTTTGCAATCAAAGCGATCATAAAAATAATAAAAACTTAGGCCTTAATATAATTCAGAAATTTAATAGCCCTATTTTTAGAATCAATGTTATAACTTGAAAATAATTTTTTGAGTTTAAGGCTACATTTCCATTTATTTTCATCAAGCCTAAGTTATAACCTGATGTTTCACTTTTGTAAGTAATGTAAGACAAACATTGTTTGGTTGTACTGGAACTCTGTGATAGATTTCTGACAGCCCACATCATAGTATATTTTTTTATTACAAAACTTTGCAAATAAAAATTTTAAATAACGATGTTGATGTAAATTTAACCAGCTTGACTTAAATCTGCCATTTTTTATTTACAATTTGTACAATAAAATCTATGCTAGCCTATCAAATAGCAGGATGCCATTGTTTATGTCACCATTACATATGAAAAACACATTTTTTTTCTTAAATTTTTAATTTAGTTAGGCCTACCAAAAATATCAAATTAAAACCATAAAACTAGCCCACAACTTTTATTCTTTAGCAAAGTCAGAAAAAAAACCAAACAGACAGGATTTTATAACCATATTAATTTTAACGAAATGACTACTGAGAAAAAGATTTTTCGGCAGAAAATACGAAACTCAATAGTTATGGGCATGTACAGTAAACTTAATACTGCGCTAGGGTTAGGACACGAGTTCTGCTGTTAGTTTGTAAACACATGTATGTACCGTAGAAAACCTTGCAGCAAATGAAGGCGTTAGTTTCTCTCAATTGCCAATGCATATCTTTTCGGCTAGAATCGGCCTAATTTTAACAAGATCTAGATCTTACACCTTGCATGATTTTTAGATTTTCAAAATATTTAATTTTAGATATTAATAAAAAATTAAAATTTGCTAAAATTTTTAGTGAGCCTCTCGAATACCTTGTGCCTAGTTTGATTGAGACGTCACTTTACTCGCTCGGGTCCATGATCATTAATACTATTAGATTAGCCCATAGGCCTAGATCATAAATTATAAATCTAGATCTGAAGTAATCTATCGTTTTAGGTACATAAATTGGCTGAGACTAGTAATGTGAAATACAGTTGACTCATAAAATTTTAGATTTTATTTAGTAGTAATAGTAGTATAGGGTGTAGTATTTAGGTAATCTATCGTTTTAGGTACGTAAAATTGCCCGCGACTTGTAATGTGAAAAATAGGTGACTCCTTAAATTTTAATAATTATTTCACATTTTGAGGAAGATTTATGTTTTTTAAAATACAAAAATCTTTCCTTGTTTCATTTATGTACCTGTTTTTAAACAATTGAATTAAAACTTTTCCGTAATAAATGAAGACTAGCGATGTTTCCAACAGATGCAACCATGCTCATTTACTATAGCAGCCATCTTGTTTAAGTTTTATTTTTATAAGCTTCTAGCGCGAGATTCAGGGGGAAGCCACTCTATTTTACAAATAACTGCTGTTTATATAGCAAATCCTGCTCTCAGACACTGCTGTTTAAAGTTTAAATTCTGGCTTACATCAATATATTTTAGTTAGCGAGGCTCACTAACCTGAAAGCGTCCTTGGTTGCTAACCTGAACATGGCTACCTCAACTGGGCCTAAGATTGGGGAATTTTTTTTGCTTTGTTCGAGAGACCACCTTAACATTAAGTTAAAAAATAATTATCACGCGAAAAATGGCGTTTTTTCGCGTATTTTAAGCTATCTGAAGATGACAAAGCTATTTTTGGCAGAATTTTTTTTTTTAAATTTGCTTCCGACCATGGAGGTCAAACGGAAACATGGGTATAGTTTGAGTTGTTTAAAAACTTTAAATAAAGGACTGTTAGGTGTCTAAATGGCATTGTAAGGTAGAGTATTATTAGATTGATCGTTTAGTGAAAAAATATTGTAATTATTTTGAATCCATTTTAAGAAATTGGCAGCCAAAAAAGGTCACTGAAAGCACGTAATTTTTTATTGTGACGTCATCGCTATTGTTACGGAAGCTGTACAGTAGTATCCTCTCGCTGCTTATATAATTGTGTTTTCTTTTCACTTGACACTCTTTTTCAGCTTATTTTTGCTAGCGTAATTAGACTAATTAAACCTAATTATGGATATTTCACCTTGCTTTTGGATTATACTATGACTCTAAAACCACAACGATCTGGTTTTTTTTTTTTGGTTGTTTCCTGGAATTAGATCTAGTAGTGAGCGTTGGTCTTTGTGTGCTTATTTAGTAAAAATATTTAGGCCTAATTATTTGTTTTCAAATTTGTTATAGCTTAATTAATTTGTCTTAATTCTTATTGATTTCATAAATTTTAATTAGGCTAATTGTAATATTATTTGCACTGGTCTTCGTTGATACATTTATTAGGCTTAATAATGTTAATATTATAACGATTTTAGAGGCCTGATAAATTAAATAATTTTAGCGTTGGGTCTAAGTTTACATTACTAATTAGTACTTAGTAAACCAAGTACGCAAGGACTAGGACATGTGTGCTGTGCCCGCGCTGTGGCGGGCGATGCCTCTCTAGCTGACAAACCAGCGAGAGCGAGCAAGTCGTGTGTCACACTTGGTCTGTGTTGATGTTTGGAATGCATAGGCATAGGCCTAATTCTCGCTCTCGGGTGATTAATTTTAATGCGCTGACATTTGAAAAATCAAATAGACCAGGGGTCTCCAAACTTTTCAGACCGAGGGCCGGATGGACTATCAAATATCAGTTCGGGGGCCAGAGTTTTTCAAGGCATATCTTCGGTGTTATGGAGCCCCCCCCCCCCCCCCCCGAAAAACGTCCACCACCCAGCCCTCCCCTCCCCGCCAATAAAATATAATTTATATATCAATATATACAAATTTCAAGTGCCGACCCCCCCCCCCCACCCCAAGAGAAAAAAATCTGAAAGAAACACTGTCGGGGCCGACAACACACTCGAGGTCCAAGTTTTTTCTCAAATTATTCTTCACGTATTCTATATCTATGGTTGAGCCCATGTGACCTTAATTCGCCATCTTCACCACAGGATTCAGTACACTGCGAATGTCCATATATTTAGCACTCAAAGCTTGCTGATGGATAATAGAGTGCAGGAGCATTGGTTGTAGAATGTTTTTCTCATTCGCGTGTCCAACCAAGCCTGTCTTTATGCAACTAATGTACTTTTCCCCATGAACAGTCAGGTAACTGAGGTTAGTCCAGTCCAAGTTATAATCAGCAAATGTTTTATTTAACACTCCGGTAAAAGTGCCATACATATTATGTAGTGAAGCTAGCTAGTGTGTTATGTTCATGTCTTCATCCACACCCCTAAAGAACACAAACAGTTAAGAGGTGGAACAGCTTTCCAGCGACTCATGCATTGCAATTAAAATATAGTGAAACGTGCTTGCATTTCAAGTCACGATGTTCTCACTAATGTCTGCAACATGTTGGGCAATGGTATTTGCACCCAAGGCTACATTTTCAAATTGTTATAAATTTTCTGGGCAAAGTTCTTCAGCCACCTCTAACAAACATTTTTTCCCGTGGACAAAAAGATCTCCGCGGGCCGGATGAGAGGATCTTGCGGGCCGCATCCGGCCCGCGGGCCGTAGTTTGGAGACCCCTGAAATAGACACACATCTTAATTAAATACATTTAATGTGAACTTTATATTAATCTAGACCTACAATACTAATTGGGATAACAAAGTACTTGGACTAGATTTAGCGCATGCGCACACTGTGCGCTGGTTGACAAAAGAACGCAGGCGGGCTAGCGATGTTTGTAATTTGCATATATCTTCGCTCACAGGCGATCATTTTAATGCGATTGGCCTCTTTTTATTTTATAGGCCTAATTAATTGTATTTGATAGGCTAACTTTTCTGGTTGACAAAACTAAGCGAGCGAGATGTCTGTCACGCGCACTGCCCGTGACGCTGTTTAGAATGAATTTCTCGCCAACTTGATGAATTTGAATGCTATTGCAGTGTTTTTTTAAGATAAATTAAATACTTATAAATCTTTACTTTTTAAACTGAGCATAGACAAAACTTTGTAAATAACACACCTGTCCCAAGTCAAGTGAGAGAAGAGGGTTAGATTAATTTTACAATGACATCGCTATATTTTATGAATTGCCCTAATTAAGCATTGCTAAAACACTTACACTAGTTAATAAAAGATGCATGGGATTGAATATCTTAAAAAAGATTAGATCTATACTATATATTCTTAAACATGTTTTTCATAAATTTGGGTTTAGTTTTCCTTTTTAAACACCCTTCCATTTAAAAAAAAATTAAATAAAAATATTTAAAAATTCTAGATCTAGATGTAATTCCATTATGTGATTTTTATTCTGACGAAGACAGTGTCCATACGAATAGAAATGTGGTAATAAAATCAAATGTACTGTGCATATTCTGCTAAAATCAAATCAGCTGCAAGGTCCATCCTGCAGAGCTCTCCTCTTCAGATAGACACATGGTTGTCATGGATTATTTTGATTTGCAAAGCTGGGAGTGGCCAATTAATAAAAATCAGTAATTAAGCTCCAAATGAGTTTATCATCAACAAATTAAGTATTTGATAGATTTAAGATTGATCTTTAGTTTTCAATAGTAATGTATAAGTCAAAAAATAACGAAATTTATACAAAGTGACTACGGGTCTCGCAAAGCGTGGCCCCTAAAGAATAGACTACGCGTCTTGCAGGTTTGATTTGCCATCTTGTAATTAAAATTCTTACTTCTTACATGTTCAACACATCCGCTGTGGTTGAGTCAACAGTGTGCCGTCTGAAGTTCATAGACCCGAAGTTCAGAGTTCGAACCCGGAGTTAGCTTGTCTTTTTTTTTATACAGTTTTTTTTTTCATTCTGAAAATATGACGTAGACTATGATTCTTTTTTTTTTTTTAATAAAATTTTCAACCATCGTCACTGGCGGGATTGCTTGCCTTACGTTTACTATCCCGTGAGTGGAAAATCCCGCCACGGCCCACGGTCGAGAGGTCACTGTGAGTTCAGCAGGCCTAAAGCATACGTCATAGACGTTCACACAAGATCGTCTGTCTTCACTTCTCTCTTCCTCCAACCCCCCCCCCCCTCTCCCCTCAAGCAAATTGAATTTTTTTTTAAGTTCACATAGTATAAATAATATACTAGACTTTGATCTACTATCACGCATGCTAGATAGCTAGGTCTAAAGTTTAAAGGACAGTTTGATTTAACTAGGTTGCTGCTAGATCTAGGACTATCATCTGACCTCACAAACTTTCCTTGACACTACAACACTGTACTGTTTGTTTACAAGTACTAGACTCTTAGTCTTACTTAGGAGTTGAAATAATATAAATACACTTAAACTCGATCTAGAATTCTAGATCTATGTCAACATTTAAAAAAAAAACGGTTTCTTTTTTTAGATCGCGTGCCACCTAAGGTAAAGATTAAGCGTAACGCGGAACGAACTGCGCAAAGGCGGCCTTACGCGTATCGCGGAGCGAACCGCGCAAATGCGGCCAAATTTATAAGTTAGGGCCAGGGGGCCTAGTGAGCCTCGCTATCTTAGTATTCTCACATTACTTTACTTATTAGATCGACTTACTGTTTTCTTTAACCTAAAATCTCCTGAATGTGAGAAGGCCTGATAGTATTAATCCCGTATTAAATTTCAACGATGCAAGATAAATTAACAATCAATTACTGTTAAATTAGATCTAATTCAGATTACTAATACAACAAGAGCGACCCGGATGTTGTTTCTTAATAAAAACGGATATGTTGGACTGGATTTTAAAAAACCCAGAAAGCTGCAAATCACGGCTCCTGGGACGGAACGCGATGTCAAATAATGGCCTAATAAAATAATAATAATAATAAATAAGTGGAGTAAATAAGCGGGATATGAAAACGGTTGGATAAAAAAGAGGAACGATCACTAATGTTAAAAAAATGTAAGTCAAAGGATAGTTTTAACGCATCCATCAGTAATTAAATTAGTTCCAAGTTGGTAAAACTGTATTAAATAGAGGTAAAAAAAATAAAGAGTTTGATGGGTCTAGAACCGACTTTCAAATATCTTACTAACATTCTACTTTCTATATTAGTTTTTAGTGAATGTGTATGTATTATGGCAGGGATCTCCAAACTACGGCCCGCGGGCCGCATCTTTTTGTCCACGGAAAACATTTTTGTTGGAGGTGGCTGAGGAAGTTTGCCAAGAAAATTCAAAACAATTTGAAAATGTATCTTTGGGTGCAACTACCATTGCCCGCCGTGTTGCAGACATTGGTGAAAACATCGTGACTCAAATAGCGAAAAATGTAAGCAAGTTACGCCATTTTTCAATTGCAATGGATTAGTCGCTGGACAGCTGTTCCACCTCTCAACTGCCTGTGTTCATTATAGGTGTGAATGAAGACATGAACATAACACAAGAGCTGGCTTCTCTACATAGCATGTATGCCACTTTTACCGGAGAAGGAATATTCAATGAGTTTTAAAAAATGCGATTATAACTTGGACTGGACTAACCTCAGCAGAATGTTGATGGAGGAAAGTACATAAGTGGCATAAAGAAAGGCTTAGTTGGACAAGCGAATGAGAAAAACATTTTACAACCAGTGTTACTGCACTGTATTATTCACCAGCAAGCTTTGTTTGCTAAATATATGGACATTGGTAGTGTACTGAATCCTGTGGTGAAGATGATGAATTTAATAAAGCCACAGGGGCTCAACCTTAGATAGTTCAGAGACATGTTGAAAGATACAAACACAGAAACGCAACATTTACAAAATTATACAACAGTAGGATGGCTAAATTGTGGGAAAGTTCTGAGCAGAGCATTTAAGTTAAGCAGGGAAATAGGTACCTTACTGGAAAGTAAAGGCAAGCCACAACTATTAATGTCTGATGAAGAGTGGGTATAGAAATCGACCTTTGCCGCAGTCATAAATAGTCATTTAAATTTTCTGAACCTAAAACTACAAGGAAAGTAATATCTAGTTTCTGTTCCACATAAAGGCATTCAGATCCAAACGGGTCTTGTTTTTGGAACAAGTACAGGCCAACAACTTGACGCTCTTTCAGCAGTGCAAGGTCTTCATGGCTAGAGCAACAGCTGAATCATTTGCATATGAGATCATCAAAAACCTCCAGCTGCAGTTTCGCCAACTCGAAGAACTTCCTAGAAGAAACTCTGGCCCCGACCTGATATTATATAGTTAATGCGGCCCTCGGGCTGAAAAGTTTGGAGACCCCTGTATTATGGTATCAAATCTCCGAGCTTTGCCGCAACCCGACCAAATTTTATTTGCGCGCAGCGAGTTTTTTTTTTTTTTTTTTTTTTGGCTAATTTAGAATACCTACTAACAGGAAACAATTATAAAACACTGTATAACTATTTTTTGTTGATAGTTGAGGATTAATATTTTAAGAGAGGGGAGGGTTTGTCATTTTTTTTTTCATTTTGTGCTCAAGACACACAGGGCCGCCACGGAAAGTTCCCTCCACTTTTGTGGGGCAATTTTCCTGTCAGTCCCCCATGATAGTCTAGCATCTGCCGGCTGCTTACATTGGCATGCACCTCGACATCTCCCTTAGCCTTCCCTGTTTTCTTTTCCCTATAGACATCCAGTTTAGCGCCATTCATGTGATGTCTTCTCGATTCATTCTTAGGACGTGCGAATCCATCACCATGTTTTTATAAGCTTTTATTTAGTTTGCAACGTCTGTTTGTTTCTGGGTTTGTGGCGAATCTTGTAACTTAATTTCGACCCATTTTTAATGCAGCAATTTCGTTCAAACTTTCTAGATAAGTTCCATTTCGATGACAAAAAAATTGTATCTATTTTTTAAATTTAATTAGATGTCTAATTAGTAATTAAAACTTAATTAAACAGTTTTGAAACTATGGGGAGAACAACATTAAATCACTCGATAGATGACTATATATAACTAGCTGTATCCCGTGCTCCGCCACGGTAAATCTTTTTTAAATATACCAACAGAACAAAACTAAACACAACACAAACGAACGCAAAAAAAAAAAAAAAAAAAAAAAACGAAAAAACAAACACAACACTCATAACATAAACACAATTTAAATGCAATCATAAAGGCAAATTGCTCACAGTCTAGCCCGTAGCGCCAACTCGCCCTTTCCGGTGATTTGCATCCCCCCCCCTCAAACTTCCGATTTGCACCCCTTCCCCCCCCCCCCGCCCTAAAACTTTCGATTTCCACCCCCCCCCCCCTCGCAAATTTTTTCCAACCCACTTTGGCGCCACCTAAGGTCGGCACCCGGGGACATATGCCCCCCCCCCCCCCCTCGCTACGCCTCTCCTATAAAACCCGAAAGATAGAATAATAATTAGAAAACAGTATAAATAATAGGCAGTATCTATAATATATACAATATTTCACTTTATCCATTAACGCATTTTTTTTCCAGTACTTTAAATTTTAAAAAATTACAATAGAGTTTCATAACTAAAACCATTGCGCACCTAATGAACGTGATGACGCGTCTATAATAGTGCTGAATAGTTGATTAAAAATTATAAGTAATAAACAGTAGGGCCTACATTCAGTGAATAAAATAAATAAAAGATTGCCTTTTCTCAATCCATGCTAATTATAATTTTCTAACAATTTCCTCTTACACATCCGAATAATTTGCATTCACATTTTGCTAATTATTTTATTGCAACACTAATTCCTTCTATGACGAACGTATATTTGCATTCACATTTTTTATTAGCGTGAGTTTAATGTATTTTTAAATTACCTCCTTTGTCAAAATTAGAAAAGAGTTAAATTAATTTGATTTTTCTACCCTACTGTTATTATCTTATTAAAATGTATCCACTTTTTCTTGGAGCCTAAACGAAAATGATATTCGACATTAATCTTTTTAATACGTTTCAGCAATGTGCGTGTATTTAATATTTTCTTGACGTTATGCGAAAGAGTAAAAACCGTGGCAATTATAAAATAGCTCTATGCCGCTATATAAACAAACCCTACTCTATTACTTATAATAAGACACTGCGGTGCACTGAAAAGCACAGCATGGTGCGAGTGTTTACTTTTATAGTCCCAAAATCTATAGCGATGACGGACGGAAGGAAGGAAGGAAGGACAGACACAGCCCGCTTATATTATAGACTAGCTGCATCCCGTGCTCCGCCACGGTAAATCTTTTTTAAATGTACCAACTTGGGAACAGAACAAAACTAAACACAACACAAACGAACGCAAAAAAAACAACGAAAAAACAAACACAACACTCATAACATAAACACAATTTAAATGCAATCATAAAGGCATTTTGCTCACAGTCTAGCCCGTAGCGCCAAAATCGCGCCCTTTCCGGTGATTTGCACCCCCCTCAAACTTTCGATTTGCACCCCTTCCCCCCCCCCCCGCCCTAAAACTTTCGATTTCCACCCCCCCCCCCTCGCAAATTTTTTCCAATGCACTTTGGCGCCCCCTAAGTTCGGCACCCGGGGACATATGCCCCCCCCCCTCGCTACGCCTCTCCTATAAAACCCGAAAGATAGAATAATAATTAGAAAACAGTATAAATAATAGGCAGTATTTAAAATATCCGTGTTTTACCTACAATATTTCACTTTATCCATTCACGCATTTTTTTTCCAGTACTTTAAATTTTAAAAATTTACAATAACGTTTCATAACTAAAACCATTGCGCACCTAATGAACGTGATGACGCGTCTATAATAGTGCTGAATAGTTGATTCAAAATTATAAGTAATAAACAGTAGGGCCGACATTCAGTGAATAAAATAAATAAAAGATTGCCTTTTATCAATCCATGCTAATTATAATTTTCTAACAATAATTTACTCTTACACATCCGGATAATTTGCATTCACATTTTGCTAATTATATTATTGCAACACTAATTCCTTCTATGACGACCGTATATTTGCATTCACATTTTTTATTAGCGTGAGTTTAATGTATTTTTAAATTACCTCTTTTGTCAAAATTAGAAAAAAAGAGTTATATTAATTTGATTTTTCTACCGTACTGTTATTATGTTATTGAAATGTATCCATTTTTTTCTGGGAATATAAACGAAAATGATATTTGACATTGATACTTTTAATATGTTTTAGCCGTGTGTGTATATTTAATATTTTCTTTAAGTTATGCAAAATTGTACAAACAGTGGAAATTATAAAATAGCTCTATGCCGCTATATAAACAAACCCTACTCTAATACTTATAATAAGACACTGCGGTGCACTGAAAAGCACAGCATGGTGCGTAGTTTACTTTTATAGTCCCAAAATCTATAGCGATGACGGAAGGACTGACACACTACCTAGCCGCTTATATTATAGACTAGCTGCATCCCGTGCTCCGCCACGGTAAATCTTTTTAAATGTACATTTTTGGAACAGAACAAAACGAACAAAAACACAACACAAACATAAACACAAACAAAACACAACCACAACACAACCACAACACAACCACAACACAACACAACAACACAACCACAACGCAACCACAACACAACCACAATACAAACAAAACACAACACAACCACAACACAACCACAACACAACCACAACACAAACAAAACACAACCACAACACAACCACAACCACAGCACAACACAACCACAACACAACACAACAACAACGCAACCACAACACAACCACAACACAAACACAACAAAAACACAACACAACCAC